CTCAAGGACTTACAACCAACCTTGGACTCAGAGAACTGTCCTCAAATCTTGAGAGAAAAAGACATATGAACTGTAAGAACGAAAAGATGGGACCAAGCATAGAGTAATGTATCATAACTAAACAAAGCAACCTGAAGAATTTGCAGGCACATCAGCGAAGAAAGACGGTGGGGTGCAAGAAAGGTATTTATGTATTGGTTAAGTACCTGTGCACTTTTCAAGAGTGTTTGTTCTGTGTGAGTGCCTGAAAGGATAGACCAGCCTGTAATGTGTTCTGATATGTATATGTAGGGAATGTGTGCTGTGTTGAAAGGAGATTGATAGTGGTGCTGTAAGAATGGGTGGCATGAGACCACTGTTGCAATGGGGATGGACCTCTGATTTCTTGTATGCTCATTTTGATCAAGGAACTCAGGATTTCCCCTGGAATGTTGAACAGTTCTTGTAAAAAGACAGCGACAAAAGTATGCTGAAGATTACGGTTAACAAACAGCCTTTTCAGTTGCTGCCTGCAGTGATCTACCGGTTGTGGTAATGAAAAAGTTCACGATTTAGGAAAATTCCTTGTCTCTATAACACAGGGAGACACCCTGGGTTGTCTTTGAGAAGAGTTAATCCCCTAAGCAGAATATCCAGAGTTGATTCAGTATGTTTTCTTGTTATAGCTGCCCTTTATGGTTGGCTGGTTCAGTCCAGCCCCATTTCTTCTAGAAATGAGCTCAACACCAACCCATCCTTGCTACAGGCCGAGCATAAAGGGCCTGCAAGCTTGGATCAGGTGGCAGGCTACACCATGTTACTGTAAATCCTGAAACTTCCAGTGTTTCTATTTTGCAGTGATCTCTCCACCACGAATATGCCTTTCTTGTATAACTGCTTTACACAGAATTGAACTGCAAATTTAAAACAGTGGAAACCTCCCTTTCCCTCCCGCTGCAAGATAAAACCACTGCAAATTTTTCACAATTTACAGTATGTCAATGACTTAGGTTGTTGATATGTTATATAAGATTCCCCATGCAAAGTCTACATGTACATGCATACATTGACTTTTCAGGATTGTTCGTTGTGTTGTTTGATGTCCATGTTGGGGTAGTTAGATGGGGTGGTAGGGGTATATCTTTGCTTTAGTGCTAACCCTTCTCTTTTCTTCCTTGTTTTAGGAGGAAGAGAACAAAAAACGTGCGGAACTTGAACGGATCATGATTGAGAACAACCGCAAAATTGAAGAAGCCCAACAGAAACTGGTAGGTGTATTTCTTTGGTGCCAAAGGGGGGAGGGGGGCAGTGTTTTCACAGACAGTGGTCGGGTTAGGGGTGGTTCTAAGGTTGTCAGGTTCTTAGCAGTTGTACCTTGGGGTATGATAGTTTGATTTGTGTGTGTTGTCTAACATGTTCTCCTTTCAGCTTTCAGCCACGCAAATCTAAACGTAAAGATGAGGCACCCTCTGTGCAGCGTAGCTAGACAGTTGCGACACCACCATATAACATGAACTGTATTTGCTCTCTTTTCTTCGTGCAGATTCCCACTAAATTTGCCAACTTTTGTTTTCACCTTTGGAAGAGTGCAGGTTTACTGAGAAGTAGCGTTGTGAAAAGGGCAGACCAGCACAATGGGTTTGTCATTCTATATTGTTAGTTGTGACATCTGCGTGGTATGATTGCAAATGGTTCAGTTGACAACAGGCCAAGGCAAAGCAACCACAAAATATCCTCTTTCCCATTGAATGCTGGAACTCCATCACGTTCAAGAACATGAAGTTCTCAACCCAAGGCACTGTATAAGCTAAACGTGTACTCTAAACTCGCACCTGCAAAAATCAGAGACTTACATAGGTTGGAAAAGAAACTCTGGTGCACTGTAAAAACCCTGCCTCCCTGAAAATTGTGGCGTGCACGAAGTCTTGAGATAGTTTGGCGAATGATGCAAAGCAGCACCGAACAGCAGGTAGGAGGTTGCGCTGGGTAAGTATTGGACGTGACGCTTCAAGGGGGGATAGAAGGACTCTGCAAAGCATGCAAGAAAAGTTCCTGTAGGCCAGGTTTTGGTCTTCCAAGCTTTTACCTGAAGACATGGTTCGACTGCATCATTCATATGGTAACAGGGTCAAAAAGTTCATGGCCTGTTCTGCAGACCTGGAAGGGTAACGGGATATTTCTGTCAAGGTATCAGTATCATTTCAATAGTTTGAGAGAAGATATTGTCAATGGGGTTGTATATGAAAATTAGCAAGGTTGTGAACTTTGTAAGAGTACAAAAGTGTGTTGCTTCTATATCAACCCAGATAGAGGGTAGAAGTACATACCGATCTTTATAGAATCATATGATGATAACAAGTTTATTATTGGAGTGTTTGGTAGACTAGCGTTGTATTTGTTCTCTGTTGACATGCTGACAGAACTTCTATTATTAAGGAGGATGGAAGGGATGATGTCCCCGCTAACATTAACTTTTTTCCCCTGTCCACTGTAGGCTGAGGAACGGCTAAAAATGATCGAGGAACAGCGTAAGATCCACGAGGAGAAGCTTGCATACGAGCGCGAGAAACTGAAGCAAGTAAAGGAGGAACAGGCCGTAGTTCTCAATAAGAAGAACAGCCGGCCCAAGCTGTCATTCTCTCTGAAGCCGGCCTCCTGATCAGTTGGCTACACCGTTGCCTTAAAGTCAGAGACTGGAGAGGGGTTGGGTGGGAAGGTTGGGGAGGGAAGGGAAAGGGGGTTGAAATGGACAAGGTAGGTGTTCCGTAAAAATCGTTCTCTCGTTCCGTGATTCACCAAAAGATGGATCCTAACATGTAGGCCACCGTTAGTAGATATGGTACAACTCATTGGGCGGATGTAGATATTACTTGGCGTCATACTTAACTCTGGACTGTGAATGTTTCCCAGGAATGTATTACTCGTGCTGTAAACAGACATGAGAATGTAGATGCTGAGTGTGACATTTTCCATACCTCTGCAAAGTGAACCAATCAATGTACATCTATTTCAAAAGGTTGGAATGGGGCTTGTCAGGAACCATACTTTTTTAAGTAAATGGGAAGGGGTACATCTAACATGGGTGGTGTTTGAATAATTGAATTGAAATGAAAGCATGGGGCAAGAAAATTTCCTGACTGTCCCCTCCTAACCTTTTGATAGTTCGATCTTTAATTTTACATATTATTTCAGTTTGACACGACAGTGAGAGCTTATGAAGAGCCATTCCACCTCCTGATGTGTTGTTCATCTAATGCTAATTTTGATAGTTTTATTTCCGTTCCACATGAAATTAAGAATTTTAGGGGTTTTATTCTGTGGAATTGTGGAAAAAATACCAAATGTTTTCCTGGATAAATGACTGGATTGTGTGTAGTTTATGACATACCGAGTGGCTTGAAATGAACATTGTCGTTCATTTGTAGGAAAAGTAGAGGGGGTAAAATTGTCAAAATTAGTGCTAGATCAGCAAACATAGGGGTCTTGTGAATAAAGGATGTTACCTGGAAGAAGTGGCTGGAGTTATGTTTGCTGTGTTTTTGTTTTGTTTTATAGACCAAAGAGGCATAGTTTTTATGAAAGAGACATTGTCCCTTACTGCCCAAAGTACAGTACCTTGTACAAAGTTTTAGACCCCCCTCAGAACTACGCCCCAGAAGGAAAATGAAGAAAAGCTAGGTTCCAAGTGTCACAAATGGATCTCTATGATGTCAATTTAAAAACTATTGGGATGATGTCAATTTAAAAACTTGGGAGATCCAAATGGGTACAGGTGTTGCACAATTCTAGCATATTTAAGGCAACATGCAGTAACCAATCCATGTACCATATAGGAATGCTTTATTCATCACTGTAATACCACACATACATACATTTACATTAAAAGTCACAGCTAATTACGTCACTAAGCAGCATGGTTTTGGACGACTAGCCCTCTTGGTCTTATGCCATAGGCAGTAGGACTGACTCTACAGCATAAAGCTGTCTTATTGACAAACATACACTTTTAGCAGGACCAGCTACGAATCTGTCCCTCAGTCATAGTTTGCCTCCAGAATGTAGCATTTTGCATGTGCTGTTTTGCACATTTTGTACATTTGTATCCTATGGAACTAAGTCACTGGTGCAAATGGCATCCTTCTATCTAGACATGAACATCAGGATAGAGTACTTAAAAAAAGTACCATATGCATCAGCAGCACATGCATGTTAGTTTTTTTTTTTTACTTTTTATAGCATGAATAAATAAGCATGTCCCTTTGATATGCAGTTTCCACTAGATCAGGCTCTAGTACAAGAATGGTAAACATGACATTTGCATAACATCTTTTGCACACATACACTTGATAATACCTTTTTTTAAGCCTCACAGGATTGATAAAAATGATTAAGCTGCATGTGGCACATACATTTCCTCCAGTTGCTGAAGTACTGATAGTGCAATGAAACAAAAGCTAATACTTTCATCTGGGGTTCTTAAAACGGTTGAATCAGAACCGAAACATTAGCAAGGTAAATGCCAGTTGTGATTTAAAATGTCCTATTATATACTAACCTGATGAAGCCAATTACATATTAATTAATGCCTATAACAGCTACAAACCACTGTTCATTCATGACCTAGATATTGGTAGATATGTCCATATTCCCCCATACAGTTTATATCACACTACTCTTCTGCAAGGGCCATCATACATGTATTTTGATAGAAAAGGAGGCTGCTACAGCGTTATGCATCTTGTCTCAACAGTAGACAATATTGTCAATAAACCTACTGATACTATATCTAATTGATTGGCCAGCTGTAACAATTCACAAGGGTTGTCACTATACAATTATAACAACATACCTTGCCTATTGGTTAGCAGTGTACTTGCTACAGTCAAGCCTGGCCTTAACAATCACCCATGGGACCGGAGAAAAGCTTGGTGATTAGGTTGTCAGAAGGTTGGCTGGCCAGGTTTGACTGTATAAGCTGTCATGTCACAAAGAGCCTCCATGTACATGTAACTAGGACAACTATCTTCATGCCATGTCTTTTAGCCTGTATACAAGACTGACAATAAGACACCCAACTAGGACAACTATCTTCATGCCATGTCTTTTAGCCTGTATACAAGACTGACAATAAGACACCCTGAGCATTTAGAGACACAGTGCTTATTACAACAGAAGCAAGCCTTGTCTTGTAATACTGTATCCATGTAACCATCACTGAAGTTCGCAAGTTCTATCAGCTCAATTATTTGCAGTTAAAGCTGTATAAGCCACTTGATGGAAGAAACACTGCCTGGACCAATCATAACTGGACTGTTGATCACATGACTCTCCTGACCAATCCAGACCCCACAAAATTCCTTGTGTCACAGGGACATATGCCAATCCCAGCAACTTTGGAACACACATATGTGCATTCACATGTATGTTTCACCATGATACAAGCAGGTTTGTGGGTCTGAAGTTTATCTATTGGAAGAAGGTTGTTGATCACATGATGAAGTGCCTGGTGTAGTCATACTCAACAGTGGGGATCACAGCCTGGACAAACTTGAGGAAGATCAGAAGATACCTGGAGGATTGTTAAGGAATACATGCATGGAGAGATAACAAACCCTGAGTTGTCTTTGAGAAGACCCCTTAGTAGAACATCTAGAGTTGATTTAGTATGTTTTTTTTTTACTAGGCCTGGGTGCTCAAAGACAAAACTAAAAAAAAACTAAGTAAAAAGAAAGGCCCAAACAGCTTTAACTTCTGCATGGAGAGTAGTACAAGTGAACAACATGTCATTTTACAATAAGCAGAGAAAGGATACATATGGACTCCCAGTTCTCCACCCCCGTCCGCCACAGTCTGGATAATCTTTTTCATCACATCAGCATGTCTGAAAGGAACAAGAACTGAGTATCATGGAAGTTCATTGATGTAGGTAGGTAGAACTTTATTCCAACATAAGGGTAGACAAGGATCACATTTTCAACGATGCCTGTCGCCTTCATGAGGACAAGTAATGGCCAATCACTTTCAAACATAAACCACAAGAGTTTACATATCTAACTCACTTGCAGGGATGTATGGAAGCCATGGGGGGTCCAGGCAGGTTGGGGTGAGCCTCCATGGTAACAGTTTTCTTGGCATGGTCCTGGCTGATGTCCTCATACATCTGTTCTACAGTTAAGGGTTTCCTGTTCTGGAAAGGTAAGAACACCAATAATGTACCAAGTGATGTCATTTCAATCTATTTCACCTTACACAGTACACGTACACCTTTATATTGTCACTAAAAGGACAACATTTGCAAGCAAATGCAAGATATTTCACTCCTATCTCTCCAAATGTGAAAATTGAGTTTAGAAATGCTTCAAGAAGATGGACAGCAACAAGACTGATAAAACTATGTACTGCAAATTTCCAAAAATTTACCATGAATAAGTTAAACTAGTAATTATTTACCTCATCATAACCAAAGAGCCATAGTCTGGGTGTCTGGTAATATTTGTCGTAGGTGATGTTCAGGTCGTATGTTCTGGTCTGTAGAATCCCGCTTTCTAGTGAAGCACCCTCCCCAGGACTCTCAGTCTTCACTGCTGCTTTCACATCAAGTGTTGCCTACGTACAAACAGAAAACAAAATTCTGACATCCAGACCAAAGTAATCAAGTGGTTTGTGTTTTTATGCAATTTACAAAGAAATATGCAGTTAGTTCATTCTTCATGTTCACATGAAAATAGAACCCTAGGAAAGTCACAATCAAAATCAGAAAAAGACTTTACCGGTATAATCAATACGTACATTGTCTTCTGCTTCTAACATTCCACTCTGTTCATATGCTGTAGGAGACAAGAAAAAAGTCAAAATTTATTTCATGACAAAGTACCGCAAAACTTCCTTCATGTTGGAAGGTAACAAACCATCCAAGAAGGCATCATACCAAAATGGATGAACAATAATGCTAGTAATAGTACAGTATCATTGGTTTATCTATTCATATATAACACATTCTAGAACCACATTGCAGTCAACAAATATGATTGCCTGAATTGTATAATCTTAGGCTCTACAGATACAAACAAATACTTGCAACTTATTGTTTATCAATGGTTAAATCCATATCTAAAGACTGTAAGTCCCACCTTCCATGTCTTCTGCCTCTTCATCATCATCCTCGTCATCATCATTATCTGCTGCCACCACAGCTGCTCCTTCAGTCTTCTGTGATGGTGAAACACGAGACCATGTCAGACGTAACCTTATAATTTATATCCAGTCTATCGTGATTGGGGCATAGTAGTTGGGGCAGTCTTCGGGGCTCTAATAGTTCCCCCCTGCCCAATACAAGACATTGGACTTGGACCCAAATTTTCAACTGCACTCCAGTTTTTGTCAAGGAATGAACATTCAGTCTCATTGGACAAAGTAAGAATCTTGGACACAGTCTTTTTTGCACAAGGGGTTAAAGAGGACATCTACATCAGGGCATTACAACCATCCCTCAACAGAGACGGGGGGCACCACAGACTTTCTGCAACCTATGATCCACTGCTCACAGAGTCACGTGTGTTATCTGCATCACGTCACAGAATTGGTGGATTGCTCATTCCTTGACAACGACTGGAGTTGTACAGTCGAAAATTTGGGTAAGTCCAATTTCTTGTGTTGGCACTTGTAGTCCAAACTCATTTCATAATGACTTCTACTAACATAGATGAACTTCCAAGATAAAACATAACTAGTTTATCACAGGATAACTCTTACCTTAGGCTCCAGAGTCATTTCTGACACTGTCTCTGTTACCGAGGTGATGGAGCTGGGGTCTGCGTTGTGATGAGTGTCCACCCAGCCCCCCTCCCCATCCTCCTCATCAATCACCTTCTCATACTCCTCTAAATACTCCATCTGTTTACAGCGCTTGTAACACGGCACTGAAAAGCAAGAAACGATAAAAATTCATAAAAAATCCATTGTTAGATATTAAAAAATCCTGGCATGCATTTCTTGATATTACTACAATGTGCCTCCGGACAAAATATGGTCGATGAACAGCGCTGGCTAGAAAAATTGATTTTTCTTAAAAGGGGGCATGCCTCAAGATGACGTCATGGTGACATTACAAAAATTTGCTGAAATTATTGTCTTGCACTAAGGTACTTCTATAAAGAAATTAAATGACCATACCTAACCCTAACTAGTATTTTTAAGATGTCCCCAAAGTCCTCAAAAACCACCTTAATTTTAAAGCTGAAAGTTCACAGAAAGCAGACATCCTCAAATTTAGGAGAAGCATGATGCTTTTTTTCAAGTAACTAGTGGTTGGCTCAAGCAACATGGGTAACTCCTACTCTTCTTGATAAGTGTGTTGGGTTCTTTTGCGCGCAGAGACACCTAAAGCTATTGCCTGAAGCTCCTCCATACACAAGCCACCAGCTTTAAGCCTTGATTCAAATGGATTAATATAATCTCTCACACTATGCCCCAGGGTTCAAAACTCCACCACCTGGATTCTCGGATACATACTAGTAAAGTGAAGCAGTGAGGTTGCTGAACCAGTTTTACCCAAGGGACACTCACCATTTCTTGTGATGAGAAACTGCTTGTCTTTGGGAAGGTACGGCTTACACTTAGACTCATCGCCAGCAGCCCTGCAGAAAGGACAACAAAGCAAATCATTTTTCTTAGAGCACACAGATCTTTCAAACATTGCAATGTTGCAATGAAAAATAACAGGATAAAAAAAAGTCACAGTAAAAGAACGTACAACCTTTCAATTCTGTTTGCTCACAAGCTTGGTAATGTCTCTAAACAACAAGGGTTGGGCAGGCTAAAATTTCTATCAGGAACACTGCCTTTTATAAAGTAGATTCAATCAAATTGCTTTTATTAGTGTTAGCTGCCAGAAGTTAAGTGGAGCAGGGTACTACAGAGAGGTACTGCAGACAAACTTGTCCCTGAGCATGATGTCCCTCGCGGGACCTTGGCTCAGTATTTATATAAGAAGATACATTGTAAGAGAGTTGCACAACTTACCATTGCCAGGTGGGACAGTGATGTACCAGGTGGTCACCTGCAGCTACAAATTCCTCAGGTGTCAGCACACCTGTCTCCTTAAACTTGGATTCCTGACATAAACACAAAAAACATGATGTTCGGCGTAGATCTATAGTATAGATAAGACTGGTCTTATACCAGAAACCTCCTTGGACCCGGTTTACACGACGACAAAAACCTGGCGTACGATAATGGCGTACGCACGCGATCGTACGACAATTGCGTACGACCATTTTTTCCAGCGTGTAAACCGGCCCCACCTATCGTACGCACCTATCGTACGCAATTTGCGTACGCCACCTCGAAGGCAGACGTACGATCGTGTACGATCGCCCAGCGGGGAGTCAGGATGCCTCCCCGCCTCGTGTAAACGCGACTGATCGTACGAACGGCGTTCGCAAGCACTTCCCTGTTGCAGGAGGTCAGGGGTCATATGCAAATTCCATTCTTCTTCCCGCGCCTGTGAAAACCCACGCCGTGTTACTGATCTTTACTCTGTTTTCTCTGATCCGTTTCGGTTTTCCTTTTGTTTTTTTATCGTATTTGATTTGTTTGTTGTTTTGCTGAGCCTGTTTGCTCGCGACTGCCGCAACTGACCATGGCAGAAGTCGCAATAGCTCTAACTGTCACGTTCCCACACTGACCGATCGATCCCGCCTTGAGCTTGAATGATGGCAATGACTGCAAAAATTGCTGCCCGTTGGATCTCATGGTACCGCTCCCTGCGACGTCCAACCCTTCTTCTACGCAATGCCCGGCGACGCAAGTACATCCGCGAAAAGAAGAATAGCAACATCTGACGCATGAAGAACAGAAAAAGAGCCTGTTCTCCCGCCATTTTGAAAATAGCGCTATGTCAAAGCTCGCGGCGGGTCAAATGGGGTCACGATAGTGTGGAGCGCTGCGGGAGTCCCGGCGCTGTCCGTCCCGCTCCGTGTAAACCGAAACGGACGTACGATCGCGTGCGTACGCCATTATCGTACGCCAGGTTTTTGTCGTCGTGTAAACCGGGTCTTGGTCTTACACAGTCCTCTGTCTGTACATAATCTGGTTGAGTAGGCGTGTCAGGAACTATGCATGAGATCGATCTTTTTGCAAATGTGCGGAAATAGAAATCGTTTCACCACATTCTATTGTTGACTTATACATATCGTATGAATACAGCACATGCGTAGGTTTAAGCTAGAGACTGTTAACTAAGACAAGACAGTCAGTATACCGGTCAAACGAAACTGCCCCATCCTTCAACCTGTACCACAGAAAATTATGGCGTCCGCACCTTGAGAACGGGGGTCAGGAATTCCGCCACTCCTAGCGCCGTTCCCTTCACGCTGTTGATCATACTCTGCATCTTGGACGCTTCTTCTACACGTCCTCGGACGTCGCTGGCTTCTTGGAGACCTAGAAGTTCCCTTTTCTTGAAGAAATCGCTCGCGAAGCTTTCGGTACACGTAGAGATCTTGCTCGAACCAGGAAGTGACCCTATGACGGTGATGTCATCACGCTTCCCAGAAAGCAATGCGGGGCTAGCCTGATACTCACAATAGTAGCGCTGTATCACAGTCAGAACGTCAAGGTAAGTATGGATAAGCAAGACTTTGCTGGTTTTTGATGGTTCTGTGTTGTTGACTCACCGCTTTATACTTTGAAAAATAACCAACACAAAGCCCCCTATTGCTCTCTATAAAGTTAAGTTCAATTTTGACTCTTCTAAACTCTTTTACGATTAATTCTGTCTTATCGCCATGACTAACATTCATGACTGATTTGTAGCCTCCTTCGCAGTCTTGTTGGGCGTCGGCGTTATTTTATCTCTGAGCGACGCGAGTAATATGCGGCCGCGAGGGACGATTTGCTGCCGAGGGAGCTTTTGCCACGGAGAGAAGGTTTCGCGCTCCAACAAGAAAAAATAACGCCTACGCCCAACAAGACTGCGAAGGAGGCTAACTGATTTGTAGATGTCATTGTATTATGGAAGTTTAACTTGTCAAAGAGCAGCATAGAATTATGAATAAAACAACAACCACTGTTTTCCTGCAAGGCATCTAATAATGCCTCTCATCTCCACTTTATTTTCTTTTTTCTCTTTCCCCTCAAAATATACTGCTGACTTCCCAATAAATTATTACTAGCAGCAAGGACATTATAATGTCTCTGCTAGCAGTATATATCATACCAAGGGCAAACAGTGGAGTACTGATAGCAGCATCAAGTACAATGAGGTCATGTATAAAATATCTTTTAAAATCTTTATAAAACATAGACAGCTTCTGTTCACATGGAAATGTATTATAAAAAGTGTAAACATACACTGTACATGTATGGTACATGTAACATATCCCACTCCATTGTCCCATAACAATTTTTACAGCATATTGTCTTGCAATATTTGCCAGTGATTTTTTTTTCTTTTTACGTGTTTTGCACATAGAATTTTATTCACCTTCAGCATTTGTTTCACACTTGCCTGAGAAGGGACAAGAATTGCATATACATGTAAAATGCCAAGTCGCCACCTGACTGTGTACAATACTTTTTCTTTCTTTTTACATGTCAAACTTATACTCACATACAATATTTATATGCAAAGAGCCTGTCTTCTTTCTAAGACTTAAACCCTAAAGGGAACAAGTCTGGAGACATTAAGGCTCATAGCTTTTTTTTTTTTACATGAAGGTAATTGCATCCACATGTATTAAATATTCACCAGCAGCACCAGTCTCCTCATAAGCCTGCTACTGTCTGGAGACAATTTACCATACTACAGTTCACTGCCAGCATTGTGTACACAGGATACATTGTTAAATAAAAATACTTCCCATGACCCCTGCAGAGTCCCATACATCTCTGGTTTAAACTCAAGTCAAAATGATGCACAACAATTAAAAGTGGAGGTAGCCCTGGTCTTGTACATTTCAGCATTATGCCCCTCAATCCCCCTAGATTAAAATCAAGCTGAAATGACTGACAATAAGTTAAAACTAGAGGAAGGCTCTTGCAAATCTCAGAGCATATCCCCTAAAACTCTATCACAGACTTTCCTGTATTACTAGCTTATTCAACTACTAGTAGTCAGTCTGTCTCTAGCCTGCGCGCCCACGGTGGGTCAGCCTCCTCCAGCCCTTGCTGAGCTTGGCCCGCACCCATCTCTTCACTCGGCAGTACTTCCCGTGCTTCTTGGCGCCGTCCTGTGCCGCCACGTCCGTGGCCGCCATGTTGCCGCCCTTCTTCAGGGTCTCCTCCAGCAGTTCCAGCTCCACCTGCTGCTTGTCGTTCACTGCTGCAGTCTCCATGGCAACTACCAGATCCTGGATGGGATCAGATGACACATAATTTTGTAACGGTGAGTCTGGGTCTGTAACGTGATATTGTTACAGTATTACTTCAAACTGTAATGTACATTTGCCTGTTGTTGTAGTCTTTCCTCATGCCTTTGTTGTGCAGATGATACATGTGGGATGACTAGAAAGAATAACTTGTAACCTATGGTGCATTAAATTTTTTTTGCTCTTGCAACCTAGAAAGCAAATTTACTTCACTATATGTCCCAATTTAGGCCTCGTTGTACCTAATACAGCTCTCAATACTCTCTAATAAATTTGACCCTTCTTTAAGCTTATGATATCATCACTTTAAAGCATTGACTACAATTATCACAACTTGGACTCGGACACACATTTAATTTTTTCTCTATACTGTGAGAACAGAATTGGTTCTGACTCCCTTGCCAATTCAGGCTGACTTTTTATTCATAGATACACTAATAAGAATTGAGCACCCAAAAAAGTGTCAAAAGCCATACACATGTATTTTATTCACATGTACGTTACTTACAGAGGAGTGCGCTGTCACGTAGGTGTCCACTGACAGCATGCTGACAGCATCAGTGAGTGCTGTCCTCTCCTGCTCAGCAGAGGATGCAGTCGACATGTAGGAGACAGCATCGAGGGAGCAGAGTGACCGGGTACTCGCTGTTTCCATGGACCAGCTCTTATCATCAGCCACGTCCACATCCGAGTCCCTTTAAAAAAAGATGTCAGGAAATTATCAACAAAGGCAATGCAAATTCTATAACCATGTAAAAGGCACATGAGTTGAGGTGTTGCCATGTTGCATACCATGCCATTGAGCTTGTTCTTACTGTACAAAACAGGTGTGTTGCCTTAAACTGCAGTTTACGGATTAAGTATAACAAACAAGAAAATCACAAAATGAGGATAGGGAAAGATAATACTGTAACAGCTCTTTGTTAAACATTGAACATTAACCAAAATGATTTGCCTACCAAGCAATGTCACTGACTACATAGTCCTTCTCCTCCTCTGGGTCCATCATGTAGGACGTGACGTCGAGGTAGGACAGCCCATCTGTCATTGGAGATGCAGCACTGTCTGCTCCAGACCCTTCCTTACCGATATCGCCCACTGTGTCCACTTCCCTTTGGGAAAATGTTATCATAATGGAATTTTAGATGTCTGAATGTCTCTGTCTGTACAGGGTAACATTGTTTTCTACAGATACAAACATAGTTTTCTTGGGTACACACTACACAACCTAATACTTTTGGCACTCTCTGCCATACCCTACAGATACTTAAGCACAGTGTGGATGGTGTTCAGCACCAAGGACAAGTCTGTTCTAAAGTGTGAATGGTGTTCAGTACCAAGGACAGATGTGCTTGACTGTATGGATGTTGTTCAGCACCAAGGACATGTCTTAAGTTTCATCAGATTGGTACATCTTTGTTGCACATGCACAACCAAAGGGCTATACCTACCAGTCGACAGTCTTGTCCTCAGAGTCCTTCTCGCATGAAAAGGTTGACAGGCAGGAGACTGCGTCAGCAGAGCAGGCGGACTCAGCTGTGCTCGTGGTTTCGGCCATGACGGTTCCGTCATTATCAGGCACCTCCTTCTCTTCGGCCATGACAGTTCCGTCATTATCAGGCACCTCCTTCTCTTCGGCCATGACAGTTCCGTCATTATCAGGCACCTCCTTCTCTTCGGCCATGACAGTTCCGTCATCATCAGGCAACTCCTTCTCTTCGGCCATGACAGTTCCGTCATTATCAGGCACCTCCTTCTCTTCGGCCATGACAGTTCCGTCATTATCAGGCACCTCCTTCTCTTCGGCCATGACAGTTCCGTCATCATCAGGCACCTCCTTCTTTTCAACCACAGTTGGCTTAGTCTCCCTTTGGAAAAATGTCAGAAAGTTTTATCAACTTCATGAACAGGTAATGAAAGTTTAATACTTAATAGACTGTCTTACTCTATAGCCATGAAAAGCATCACTGAGTTGTTATTAGACAAGAGTGTATCAAAGCAACTTACACTACACATTATGTACAAAACAGAGGCTATAATTGCCAGGCTTAAAGCAGCACTGAGCTTTGTCAGTGAATGGTTACCAAACTGAGATTGCTTTGAATTCAAATTGATAGATTATGCTAAGTTATTGGGGTACTAGACTAGTCAGACTCATCCTGGATGCCATCCTTATCTAAAAGCTTTAGTCTGCTCTCAGCAAAGGAGTTTTAAAAGGTACTAATGTTCTGAATGACTCAACAGTAGGATGTGGACTAAAGAAGTAAGGCTGGCATCCAGAATAAAGTAACACATGTAGTGCATTATAACATACTTGACATCGTCACTGCGTTCTCCTATGAAAGGCAGCATGATCTGCACCCTCTTCTGCACCACCTTATCCATGACTCGCTTGTTCTTACGGCACACCTTAGCATTCTTCTTCTCCAGTCTCACCAGCTGCTTGAGGACATCGCTGGAGAAAAAACAGTTTTGTAACGTCAAGCATGATACTACAGCCATCATTCCTATTACTAACTAACAACCAATCAGTCAACTATATCAAACTTGATACATGTCAGTGTTCTAGCCAGCCTGAATTTGTTTTCCGTCACCTCAATTTTGTTTGATATATCATCATATTGAGCGCCAAGGGTGTTACAATCCTAGGAAGTCTGGGGCATGCTCCTCCAGGAAAACTTTCAAATCTTGACCTGAATTTCTCTGCATTTTGAGTCTTTTAGTTAGTTTATTGACATCTCTTTCAATATCTTTACACGCTACTTTTTGTCCATCAAAGATGACAGATTTTGTAATAATTTATGTGTGGAGGTTTGGTTTTCAGTGTGTCTATTCTGTATATCAGATATACTTACTCCATTGACTTGTTCATATTCTTCAGTTCCTTCTTCTTCTTGTTCAACAAGGCTGCCCTCACACCAGCAGGCTCTCCCTGCAGCTTAGCCTTCTATAAGAGGATAAAGGAAAAAAAAACATGTATCACAAGAAATATACTAGTACTCAGAAATATATTCAGTCCAGGGTTGTTTTTTTTTCAGATGGCAACTTTGTCAAAAAAAAGACCAACAGGAAGATTATTTTGTAAGTTAGAATATGTTTTGTTAGGTATATATCCTTCTACACCAAGTCTTGTACTTTCAGGGTAACATTAACTCTTTCTAACCTTGCTAATGTCGTTAGTAGCAAGTATCTCCGGAGCTCCATCCTGTGGTATCGAGTCGATGAAGTCACTCAGGCTGGGGACGTACTTCAGAGTCACCCGCCGCCCCTGGCCACGGGAGGATGATGGCAGCTTGGGCTCATCCAGAGACTCTTGAGCATCGTAGTACTCCTCCTCGTGCACCTCCAAAGCATCATAGAACACCTCCTTCTCCTTCTCCAACTTCACATCACAGAACACCTCTTTCTCCATCTTCTCCGCAACTTTGGTCAGTTCTTCGGAGGTTGGCTGTAGCACAACATGTAGTCACATTCTGGTTACCTGATGGGACTCACATGATGTCTGATTCAAAATGTGAGGCACTTCTTAAAAATAAAAGAACAGACAAGTGATTCTCTAGAGTACCTATGTACATGTAGCATCCTCTGGACAGAGAACTATTTTAAAAGTAAAACTTGTTTATCTACATTGTGTACTAGGTTTTGTCACATGAGACTCCTGAACTGACAGTTTCCTTTTTGGAGTAAAGGTCACCTGAGGACAAAAGGATACGATGTTCTAGAATTAGCAGGTCCATTTTGGTAAGGTTTACACATTCATTTTAGAGTGTTACTTTTTGTTTCTAAGCTATAACTGAAACCCATACCAAAAACTGTTACTAAATAAATGAAAATTACCATGCGAGCCATCTTCACACCCTTCGACCTATCTCCTCCACTCAGCAGCTCCAGGGAGCGTGCCACCAGGGGCATTCTCTTCAGGAAGCTCTGTGTGTTGAAAACACAGTAAAACAGTTAAAAGCAATGTATACTGACATGAAACTTTATGTTATTTCAAAACTTTTGGTGCTCTAATGTACCAAAGTGTACCTAACTGCTTCATAATTCAATACCATAGAATAAATCCATGTCACGTTATAATCGTAATCACAGCAACACAATTTTTGTTGTCACCAAGGACATTATACAAAGTCTACAAACAATTGAAAATGAAACAGGGAAATCACTGGCAAAATTAATCTTACATGTGAATTACTGATCCCAAATAGTAGTACATGTAACGTTACAAGGAAAAATTATCAAATATAAGTCTATTGACTATTTCACCAGATAAAAGAGAGCATGTCAACCAACACTACAAAAAGTACAAATACAAAATAAAGTACAATACTTCCACTCATGACAATAAATTTATTTACCATACATACAAGGTAACACGTTGACGAAACATCCACAAAATCAGTATGTGAAATATGAAGTGTAAACAACATATTCTTTAGATTTAGAAACTTTTTAAAACTCACCGTGAAGCCCAGCACCCACGGCTCACTGTGGCCAGCGGGCGGGGAGGCCGGGGTCCGCGGCATGTCGGTTGACCGCCCCTCGGACTGGACCTTCTTCGGTCCGGGTTTCTTCGTCATTGTCACATCCATCATTCAGTGAATAGAGTAGACTGTAAATAAAAGATGACATGATCACGATAAACTCAGAAAATACAGCTTCGAGAAGAGAGAAACCAGACAACCCCTCCCCCATGCAACTTCTTCTAACGCAGTCGTCCTCTCTTCTATTAAACTAGAAACTTTTCCCTCTGGTAGAATTTCTCCAAATGTTTCCCGAGCGTTCTACTATGCGGTGACATCTTCTTGTAACATTCGATGCCGTCTCGTCGAGGTAGTAAGCCGGCTAGACTTCAGAATTCGACCAGAAAGGCTCAGATATTGTCGTAGATTTTCACACAGCACTTGTTGAGTCCAAACTGTGACCCCTGCCCCCCTCCCGTCATGCATTTTCTCCGGAGTGTTACATTTTTAGAGAGAGGACAACAGTTGATAAAACGTCCACTCCGAACTTCATGTTTGTTGCTGTCATCCAAACCTGATGAATTCATTCTACTGGGATCTCTTCTCATTCACAATTTTCTTAACTTACGACTTTAGTAAACTTAATGTGGCTCCCAACTAGTTTAGATAATCGCACCCCTCCCCCAAAGGACGGTGGTGATCTACTCGGCCAACCACCTGTAACTTCTAGCGTTACTGAGTTCACTTTGTTTCTGGCATCGGCCAAGAAACTTTGGAGTCACTCTCAGCTTTTAGCCGGTGGGAATTGAAGTGAAACTTGCGCCAAAGGATGGAGAGAGACTGAGTATTTCCTTGGTAAGTCAAGTCCCCTTTGAACAGTTGACTGGCAACTTTACTAGCACCCGTGGCAACACCAAGTTGACCTGACTAGTGCTAGTGCCTAGTATCATGTTTCTAACAACACTCGAACTAGAGTAACTAATTGTTAACGTTACCACTGTTTAGTTGTTCACTGAACACTTTTTATGTCAAGAAATCTAACCGTTACTTTGTTCAGACAACTTTTACCGCTTCAAGCTTTCACGTTGTGTTTCTGACCTTTGGAAAGGTGACATGGACATTTTCAGTACTCAACTTTTCGAGATAAAACTCCTCTCCGTGAAAAAAGTACTGATTTTTACGGCTAAACACACCGCGTGGTCTGTTCTATCGTCAAGAACTCCTAGACCAAATCCTACCTTTGAAATCTGTCTCAGATTCAGTAAACCTCGAAAATTACCAAGGAGAGCGTGCGAAACGCGACCTTCTGGCAAACCGTAGTCAAGGTAGAATGCACAAGGCGCTTTATGACGTCCCATTGTTGCGCTCAAGCCTGAGCATGCGCAGATACTAAAACCCTGGCGTCACAAATGAAGAGTCATATCATAACAACTCAGCAGCGCCGCCAGGCGGGATTTTCTACAACTGCAGTTTGCAATGCTCATGCGCAGTTTGAATTTGGACCGCCATCTTGGTTCTGTAAACTAAAAGTGAAAACCAGGGCAGTTTTTTCCACACATCTGGGAAACGTCTGGATTTCAGGGGATTCTGCTGATTTCAGCGCCGTCTAACAGGGATGGAGGCTGAGTATGACTCAGACGACAACCACAGTAAGTTATAGAGTAGCTGAGCTCTTGGTTCTAACTCCAAACCAACGCTAACTTCTGAGCATGGCGACAACAAAAACAGGGCCGCTGCGTCTTTTTGATCGCGTTCGCTTTACCTGGTGCACGTGAGAGCACTGCGTGAGAGTTATGCCGGAAGACAAAGCTTATATCGAAAATTTGTGGTGCGCTGTAAATATAGTGACGTTTCCAACGTCCCTTGTGTAACCGTTACTGTTTACAAAGAAAAAAAACTGGTGAAGCTTTCAACGATTTGTTAGATAATTTTTGTGCTTGCTGTTTACGACTCATACTGACAGGAACTAGAAGTAGAAGTTTGATAAGTTCCATTCATACTTCCAGGTGGCAATGAAGCTCCAGGCTCTCCAGAAGCCATGAGTGAGGGAGGATCAGAGGTCAGTGAACAGTCACTTCACCATTCAACAATCCTGTAGTTCATCTGCCCATTATATTTTTTATAGAGAGCTTGACGCATTTTGTAACATGGGAAAGCAAACCAGAATTGTACAGTTCAATAGTTACAAACATGTGCTAAAATAGGAGAGAATCTGACTATTTTCTCTCCCTGTCTGAATCTCTTAGGACGGGGAGGTCCAATCAGAGCCTGAGGAGGCAGCTGACCAGCTGTCCCCACCTGCGAGTCCCGAGACCCCCCCTGGCAGCCCCCTGTCCCCAGCTGAGTCAGGTGGAGGTGCGCCGGAGTCCCCTCCCCAGTCCCCCATGTCCCCTCCCCAGTCTCCTCCGGACAGTCCTGTATCACCTGTTGGGAGCCCCATTTCAGCTGAAAGTGCACCTGGCAGTCCCCAGTCCCCAGCAGGCAGCTACCAGTCAGGTGCGGGTAGCCCACAGTCAGGTGGGAGTGCCCCTGGTTCACCTGGGTCTGTCCCCTCCCCACCAGCAAGCCCCATGTCTCCAGGGAGCCCACAGTCTCCTGCTAGTCCCCAGTCACCTGCTAGTCCTCAGTCACCTGCAGGTAGCCCACAATCACCTGCAAGCCCCCAGTCACCTGCAAGCCCCGAGTCACCCGCAAGCCCGCAGTCAGCTGCAAGTCCACAGTCACCTCCTGCTAGCCCCCAGTCTCCAATGGGAAGCCCTCAGTCACCTGCTAGCCCCCTATCACCTGCAGGTAGCCCCCAGTCACCTGCTGGTAGTCCACAATCACCTGCAGGTAGTCCACAATCACCCGCAGGTAGCCCCCAATCACCTGCAAGCCCCCAGTCACCCGCAAGCCCCCAGTCACCTGCAAGCCCCCAGTCACCTGCAAGCCCTCAGTCACCTGCTGGAAGCCCCCAGTCACCTGCAAGCCCCCAATCACCTGCTGGCAGCCCAATATCTGCTGGCAGCCCACACGGCTCCGCAAGTGGTGACGACGATCAAGCACCAAACGAGGACGAAGAAAACAACATGGAGGAAGGGAACGACAACGCTTTCGAGCAGAGCGATGCTGAAGAGGAAGACAGGGAGGCTGCCGGTGATGAAGAAGAGCATAAGGATATAGAATCTGGTCCTGAGGGAGAGATGGAGCAGGGCAGTGATGCTGAAGGGGAGAACAATGTGGACAGAGAAGTAGATAATGACAGAGAACAGACAGGGGAGGAGGAGAGATACAGTCCTGGTGCACAGGACGGACTGAGAAGTGGTGCCAGCAGCCCAGGACAGCAGGACCAGCCAGATGAACAGATGGACTCAGCAGAGCTAGGAGGTCAGAATGACAGGAGTGAGGGAGAAGAAGAGGAAGAAAAAGAGGATGTTCCAAGCAGAAGGAGGGTACGAGTGATGGATGACAGCAGTGATGAGGAAGGGGAAAACAGGACAAGAGAAGACACGCCACAGGAGAAGGGGAGTGATGCAGAGTCTGGGGAAGAAACAGAGAACCTTTCTCCTAGAAAAGGTAAGAAGCCTTCATAGTGTGTTGCACTCTTTAGTGGATAGCTTGTTCTGGACTTTAGGTGCAGGTATATAGACAATGGATATCCGATAGACCGATACTATACAAATAAAGTATACTTCCAGTACTTTTTTTTACTACATTATACTTATAAGTTAGTTATAGTTACTACTGCCAAAGGTACGCAAGATGTTCAGATCTGAAGTGCAAGTGCAGAAAACAAGTTCACTACTACCAACCAACCAATACTGAATAGTATTAGTAGTATCCAGTCTTTCATTATCATACTGAAACAGGCGGGCAGCAGTCAGCTAGTCTTCACACCACATTTCTGAACCCTTGAGTCATAATATTGAAAGTATACATGTACTTTGTTTTGTTCAGACTTGAGTAAGCACATATTTGACATTTTCAGTGAAGCGAGCAGCTGTATTATCAGATGATGAAGATGAGGACACACAGCCTGTACAGAGAAAGGTTCTGTCTTCAGATGAGGACTCAGACTCAAATCAACAGACAAAGAAAAGGGTACTGTATTAATCCATGGATATGTAGATATTGTAGTTTTATATATGAATGAATTCGAGTAAGAATTGACAGAGCAGACCATATATGATGAAGGTAAACATTATGCATTTGCTTTGCAAATGTTACCTTTGTAGTTCTACATGCATCAGGAACCAATCACAGATCTAGGTTCTGAAAGCCATTGTGACCTTTGACCTTGTGTTTTCCTAGGTGATGGTGTCAGATGATGATGATGATGATGATGAGAAGAAGGCAGGAAGTGATGGAGAGGTGGAGAAGGACAGTGACGATGAAGACAAGGATGTCGGTGACCTCATTGCAGACATCTTCGGTGACAGCGATGAGGATGAAGAATTCGAGGTAAAATCCTCAAGAGTCATTTTTGCATATATTTTATTGCATTTGCATGATACAAACTTTCATACATTGTTTGCATAGTCTATATTGTACAGTTGACTTCTAGTTTATCTTCATTGAGTTAGCTTTTGTATACTTAATTTGCTCCTTTGTTGCAATGGTAAGTGTTAGGTTTACTAGAATAGATACACAGGGGTCGAAATAGATTTTGGGGCCAACTTGCACTGGTGCAAATGAAAAGAAAAATACTTGCACCGGAAGAAAAATAGTTGCACCCTCCAAAAATACAGAAGTGATGGGAAACATCCGCTGGCAGCGACGTAGATAGTAACCTTCTGTTACTTACAAAAAATGAAGAAAAACTTCATGGATTCTGGTTTTGTTCCTTTCCACTCCAGTTCTTTATTAATTAATATTATTGGGTAATTCTACAGGTAGTAACAGTGGATAAAGCAAACTTGCACCATGGTGCAAGCAGGCAAAAAATTAGTTGCACGACACCAAATTTACTTGCACCAAGTTGCACACAGAGGGTTATTTCGACCCCTGATACACCATAAAGCAACCCATAAAAGTCATGAGTTGAAGCTATTCAACAGTTACTGTAAAAAAACTGAATGTGGACATTAATTTTTGCAGGGTTTTGGTGAAGCCGAGGTTGAGGGAACTGTTCCAGAGGTACAGAAGTCATCAGGAAGTAAGTCCATCCTCAACACACACAACACACGCTTATCATTTTGAATAGAATTATAGTTTTACAGTGGTCGAAATACTTTTTTTCAGCGCTCTGCAATATTGCAGAAGAGTCAAAATTTTGTTCTGCAATTTGGAAATACTTTCTGCAAATACACAAGCCTCCATACTACAATCTTGCAGGTTTATAAGCATGAACTATTGATTGATATGCAAATTAGTGAAGACAAATGTTTTGAAGTCCAAAAGAAACAAAAGATAGACAAGTCAAGACAAAGTTGATGCAAATTAGTGAAGAAGCTCCTGTTGTTTCAGAATAGGAGCTTCAGTGTTGTCTGTCCTTGGGGCCAAGAGCGCCAAATCCCAAGTGCCAATTTTTCCTTCTGCAAAATTGCAGATTGTATAAATTTTTCTTCTGCAATCTTGAAAATCTATCTGCAGATTGCAGACTGCAGACAGGTATTTCGAACACTGTTTTACTATATATGCTGGCTTGTTAGCTACACAACTTAAGAGACTGTATCTGCAGACATTTTGGTGACCTCCCAGATACTTTCATCAGGGCTGCCTTAATCATCAAAACTTACCAAAAACGTCAACAGATAAAATAAAATCCCTTTTAAAGTTTCATTGTTTCGCTAAGAATCTAACTATATATGTTGAATTACCAATATACTGAAAGTGTCTACTGTTTTTTTGGAATGCTACCCTTACAATGAACCGGTGCAATAGCTCAATTGGCAGAGTACTCGCTTTAGAAAGACTTTAAAAATGGTCTTCTGTCTCTGCTTAGCACTCAGCACATATGAGAAAGAGTGTGGGAAGGTCAAACACACAGCACTAACAGCGGACCAGCCCCCTGCTGTAGTGCCTTGCACAATTGTATGTTGCCCAAGGGCTACGAAATGGAGATGGGCACCACCCTACGCTCGGTATAAGAGCACAGGAGACCTTCTTGTTCTTCTTCTACCCTTACAAACTCCCTCCACGAGAAGTAATGTTGCTGTATTGTGTGTGTTTCAGTTCTGTCAGACAGTGAGGATGAGGGTGTGACGGGGGCGGAGTCAGAACAGGCCGCCGTACCTGCTGCTGACTCATCAGATTCTGACGATGACAGACCCTCAGACAAACCGTGAGTTCAGTTCTTACACATGCCAGGGACAAAGGGAAGAAATCAAACCAAGTAAAGATGTTTTAATCAAATTAAGTTGAATTGAATTAAGAATAATGTAAATATTTGCCTACTTTGGGCTAAGTACAGGTCAAGAGAGTTCACATTTACATGCATGTATATTTCATTTATTTCATTTATTTCGAAACCTTTTAGCCCCGAAGGTAGTGTAACTCCTATAACCTACATGTACATAACATGTATGAGGATATACCTTCTTCTAACTTCTTTGTAATGATGGATATGTAAGAACAGCTAGGTTTTGTGATCAAAGTTATGTTTAATCATGTTAGAAATGTGCTTATATATCTGATGGCTAATACAAGTTCGACTTGCAAATCGATCCATGTTCTTTTCTCATGTCATCATAACCTTAGGTGGACAAGCTTCTATGTTTTGCTTCGTACACATACATGTACACTACACATTGCTTGAAAGCCTTGAATTATTACCCTGTACTTGTAACTGACAGAGCCTTGAATCCCTGTCCTGTTTAGGGACATGGTGTCAGACTTTGACGTCATGCTACAGAAGAGGAAAGCGATGAACAAGGCCAACCGCAGGAAACGTAAAGATCACGACCTCATCAACGACTGTGATGACCTCATCGTGGCCCTCATCAACAAGATGAAGGCAGCAGTCGACGTATGTTGTTGATTCTTTGGAACAATTTCAACAAATTTTACACCTGAAGATGCTTTACATGTATTTACTTTGGGATATTTTGTCCTGACTATCTATAGTCACCATATCTAGATGGAAAAGTGAAAATGCATTTACTGTTATTAACAGGAGGACAGAGTATTAAATCAGAACCGCCAGCCTGCCGTCAGGAAGCTGAAGATGCTGTCCAGTGTCATGCAGACTCTCAGGAAGTAAGTTTCCAGTGCAATGGCAAGGAAACACACTTTAAGGAGCATGGCCATATGCCTTTTCAATTTGTTGGTTCTCAGATTTGTCCCTAAAGTTGAAGAAAATAAAAAGATCACACGCACCATTCAGGATATGAATCAACTGCAAGATGCTCATACTTTGGCACAAACAGTTGACGAGGGACCATGCCTCTAAAGTCTTACTCTAATTTTTTGTGATGTATACTTTTGATAGTGTGGCTCTTAACAGTGCTTTGTATTTACCCTCTCCCCAGGAAAGATCTCCAAGAAGCCATCTTGGACTGTGGTATGCTTCCAGTCATCACGGTAAGAAGTTCCTCAGTTGTAGATAGTGGATTTTCTGTGATTTAAATTATCATAGGACTGGTATTTTGGTTGTGCTTATGGGGTCCCTTTAAAGATATGATTTCATGACATTGACACTGGAAAGCAGTGACTAGACAGTGAATGAACCACCCTTGTGTAAGAAATCAGATATAGCCCAAATTGAATGAACCTTAATTTGTACTGATCTTTTATCTTGTTTCTTACAGGACTGGTTGTCTCCCCTCCCAGACCGTAGCCTGCCTCACCTGCACATCAGGGAGGAGATGCTGAAAATATTACAAGACGTAAGCCTTAGGTTACTGCACTGCAGGGTCTCAAATCTACGTTATCCAATGTCATCACTGTCATATCCAGTTGCTTGAGTAACTGCTTTTTGGCATAATGTCATCACTCCAATGTCATCACACCATAGTTCTAAACTCATCACGTTACTGGTGGTTGGTCAAAAACCAGCAAATTAAAATACATGAAGTTAAATTGACATGCTTTGGTTAAATATCATTATCATATAGCCAGAATGTGTTTGCCAATCAGAAGGCTCCATTTGCCTTTGGTTATCTGGCCATAACCTCAAAAGTGGTCAGTTATTAGAATAAAATAACCGTCCACTTTTTGGACAGTACAATAATACAGGGTATGCTACACTCACCATGGTGGTTTATTCGGTGGTTATCGCACCTGACCAGGGATTATCTCACCATATACACCTCGGGCCGGGGCATTAACCCTTTATTATAATACCCCAGGTCAGAAAATCTTGATATTCTGTATTGAAACAAAAGATAGAAAAGCAGCTACTACATTACTGTCAGTTTGCTAATGATTGTTTGTTCTGTGACCCCCTCCCCTCGCCAGTTCCCTCCATGTAGCCAAGAGAGCCTGAAGTCCAGCGGTATCGGCCGTGCAGTCATGTACCTATACAAACATCCCAAGGAGACCAGGAATAACAAGGAGAGGGCTGGCAAACTCATCAGTAAGTAACTCAACATGTTAGCTCCTAACAGTTTCTCTATAATGTTGATTAAAAAAAGACCTTGCAGTTTTGAAGGAAAACATGATATTGACGTTTGGGATCTTCCCTAGCCTTAGTGAGATTTTTTCTGTAATTTCCAGACGAGTGGTCCAGGCCCATCTTTGGGCTGAACTCCAACTTCAAGTCGATGAGTCGAGAAGAGAGAGAGCAGAGGGACATGGAACAGATGCCCAAGAGAAGGAGAATGAGCAGGTGGGGACTGTTCATTAGTACTTCATGAGGATGGATGTTTTTTTTTTTTGTTCACTTGTCAGCTGGGTGTAAAGCAATTGAGGCCTGAAAATATTCTTTAAAAAAACCCTAGTTTTGAAAATCAGTGCTAAAATAATATTATAATGGCAGGCAAGGTGCCATTCTTCCATTCTTTGGGGAGATCCCTGGAACGGTAAATCATGATTTTTTTTTTTTTTGTACTTTTACATTCACGGGCTTTGCGGTCACTTCTGTACCGGTTCTTCTCATGACCGTGTACAAATCATTTTCAGACTTTCTTTCTTCTGCACCTGCCACCAGCATATAGTCCCACAAACATGTCAATTTTTCTCAAACCGCAAAATTTTGCTACCGCAAATAAAAAGTTATCAACTCTTTCTTGTGAGCATGTAATTTGAGTGCACTTGCAGACTCGACATTAATGTAAGCTTTGTATGTTGAACAGTGCTGCTGATGAACCCAGGAGGAGTATGGACATGGAGATCGCAACTGCACAGGGGTAAGTCTGGGATCCCTAAAGCTAGCAAATGTTTGATGAGTAACTCTACAAGCCAGTTCATTGTGTTAGTGCTATGGTCTAAGTTTCGTACACATATACAGCAAATGACATGAAAATAGACTACAAAAAAATGAACATCAGAGATTCGAGTGAATGAGACCATTGGAATGATGAAATAAAACAAACCCTAGAGGAAAGAGGGAAAGAGAATTTAGTGAATGGTCAATCAAGTTTCATCCTGTATGGTGGACACTTCCAAACCCTTGCAATCTTGGTGGTAGAGGTATTGACAAAGTGTAAATATGAATTTTTGATACATGAAACCTAGATCTAGAATTAAGACCTCTGACCTCTCAGCACAACTTGTAGTCTTACCATGTTGTAGTTAAGGTACCTTTAGGATGCCTGTAGGTGTATAAAGATAAATGTGTAGCTTGGTTTAGTGTTTGTACGTGTAACACGACTCCAGGAAGACTAGTACTATGAATAGATATTCTGTACATACTAATGGAGAGCGAACAAATAAACAAATCCCCTGCTGTGTTTCTGCAGCCCTGTGAAGCCTGGAGACCCAGGTTGGTGCGCCCGTGCACGTGTTCCCATGCCCTCGAACCGAGACTACGTGGTCAGGCCAAAATGGAACACAGAGAAAGAGATGAGCGAAGACCAGGAAAGGGAACAGAAACGTAGAAACAAGGTAAAAGTCTTTCACACTCTGCACGCTTTTCCTTCATTGAAGATTATACAAACCTGAACAGGTGTAGTTGTCTCTGCATCCTTTGTCATTCTTTCCTTCCTTCTTTCCTCCTTTGTTCTTGCCCTCTTCCTCTATTTCCCATTCTTTTCTTTTTTCTGTTCACCCTCTTGAGTCTTTCTCAATTTCCTTTCCTTTTTCTATGCCTATGTATTTGTCTTCTCTTTCTGTGACCTTTCTTGTAAGATCCACATTGTGACTCTTGGTGCACCTTTTACTTATTGTATTGTTTGATTTTTGAAATTATTGTTCACATTTCTGTTTGTTATTTTCCTGTGTGTGTATTACCTTGTCCCCCTCCACTTCTGTTGCGGATGCATCACTGTAGATTTCTAGTAGTTTCACATCTGTGGAAATGGTAAGGTTTTCTCTTCGTTTGAAGGAACATTATGATTTGGATGATGTATTTGCACCATTGTAGGGATTCCCCTTGTTTTGCCTGGATGTGTTTTTCCCTTTTTTTCACTCCAAGACTGATAATGATATATTTACTGGCATGGTTTTGCAGTTGGTGTGGTGGAGTATTGAGTATTTGGTATTGAATATGTGAATTTTCCAATTTGATATTGTTCACATTTGACATACCCGGTATAGTGATTCATGTGCAGTGTATTTATGTACCCTTTTGTAGCATTTTTCTGCTTTGGGGCACTTTGTCCAAGTGGTTCATTTTACTATACATTGTTACGTAGAGTGGGAAACTCACTATTGATGTTCGGTTGTTCATTCTTATTGGTGAACATAGTTTGGTTTGCTCTTGTGCACGACATTAACCCATTGTCCTTTCTTATCCTGTTTTTTTTCCAAACCACTGGACTATCTAGAGTGTGGTGTGTGATGACTAAACGGCTTGCTGGTTTGGGATCTGAGAAATGACTGCATGTCATACTTAGGACATGTGTTACCTGTCTGTCTTGTATGTTGTCTGTGATTGGCTATTTTGAAGGGATGCAACAGTAATTTTACATCATTATTCAAGTCATAAAAGAAGCCTGTTCTTAGAGAGAATTCAAAACATGTCAAGAAGGCAGAATTTTTTGAAGTCAGAACATTTTTTTCTTAAATTTCCTGCAATTTAATTTTCTCTTCCTTGTAAATTCTTCTTAAACAAAATTCAGACAGATACACTGGACCTTCTATATCCTTGTGGCCAGAGAAATATGAAACAGTCGCTTCTTTGTACTATCACAATCTTTATTACAACAGTTTGTGTCAGTGTTTCCACCAATATCATGGAAAAACACTAGATATATACATGTAGTAAGAATCAATCCATTGACAGAAAAATGTGAGTCTGTTTCACATCCTGAAAAGTGGCCCTTGCGTTGCATCCCTGCTCAAAGCCGTGTCGTTATTCTAACCCACGTGAGAGTCTCTCCCGGTCTCCTACCAGGGTTTCACCAAGACGAAGGATGCCCGTCTGGAGAAACACATGAAGACCCTCCGCGAGAGGAAGGCCAAACTGAAGATCCAGCGCGCCGTTGGCATCAGCATTCAGGGCAACAAGATGGCCCTTTAGTCTGTGTACAGTGAACAGTCTGAGTAGGAAGGTGATTTGTAAGTAATAGATACTGGTGTGGCACAACAGGCGAACACAGCAAAAATTTCTTACCACGTTTGAAGTTTATGTTGAAAACCTACAACTCTAACCCTAACGTCATTTGACCTCAGTTTTTAATTGGAAAAATTTTCCTACCATGTTTGAAGTTTGAGTTTGTTACAGTTACTAGTATGTTCAAAACCTACATTGTACACCTCTAACATCATTTGACTTCATTTTTTGAGTGTTGAAAGAAAAGTTTTGTTTCCCTGGTTTGAAGTGTGGTCGCCTGTTGCAGAATGGTATCTTTTACGTGTGCATATCAGCCATCGTTCTATGGGTGCCTTTGTTATCCACTAATAGAAGCTTTTCTTCTTGAAAGTTTGTTGTGTTTTTGATGCTTCCATGTTTCAGTTTGCTCCATATAGCAAGGCCTGTAAAACAGGGCTTGCAAAGATTGCTGACCCTTGCATGACAATGTGTTGTGGGTTGTGCCTGAAATGCTATTGTTTGAAAGGATAACGTGCAAGATCTTCCACAAAAGTATCCTATATATTCAATGGTGAAATGGTGGATTTGGATTATGCACATCACAGACCCTCTCTTTGCTCACAGAGGATGAACTGAAATGAACTGTGCATGTATAATTTTGGCAACTGTCCAGGGGCAGGGCTATATCCACGCCCAAATCAGGCACTTATAGCAGAAATAGGGAAATTTCTCTTACTGTTTCTTTTTTTGTCCCCTAGGGCTTTTCAACAATGAAGGATTCTCGTTTGGAAAAGCATGTCAAGACCTTCCGGGACAGGAAGCAGCGTATGAAGGCAGAACGAGCGGTCAAGATCAGTCTAGAGGGACGTAACATGGCCTTATAGCCAGTTATAGGGCAGACACAAGAAATAGTGTCTTTTTTTCACATGGGCGTTTAGTTCTTGTTTGAATGTGATTTAATTAATCATGACAGAAATTTGACACCTTTGAAATGATTGTCAAAACTGATTGAGGAATTTTCTATGATTAAACAAACAAGCTTGATTTGAGATGACGCAAAACTGTAGAAGATGAGCACATGTAATGGATTTTTCCTAGGACATAAGTTTTCAGTGTTGTACAGCTTTTCTTTTGCTCATTCACATGTTTGAGAAGAAATTTATACCATTGTTTGCAGTAACATTGCCTCTTACTTTATTAATACACTTTATTAATGTGCATATGCGTACGGTAACTGTTATACTTACATAAAGTACAGAAACTACATAAATCTTTGCAATAGCTTGTTTAGTGAACAAAACAAAGTATACATAGCCTCAAAAGTGCAAGCAGTGCTGATATTGTGCTCATGTCATAAATATTTACAGGAAAATGTTTAGAACTACCTGGTAGGTTAAATTTGAACCATGATCTGTAACATACTAATACACTGTACAGTAGAACATACATTGTAGCCTCACAAGTCAACTCTGGGCTGCAATAAGCAGCTCATGGTTTGTGTGTATGCCTTACCTTCTGGAAGTTGTCCTCCAAAGTAAGGTGGGTTTTGTATCAGAAAGACATGTAAGTGACATCGGTCTGCAATACAATAAGGTTTAGACCCAGGAGGATCATAAAGGGGGACAGGAAGACAATTTGCAACAGGTTTAGAATCAACAAAAAGATTGAGAACAAAGAATTCAGGAGGCACATACCATTTGGAACCTTTTGTTATTTTTAGGTTGTGGAAAAATGCACTACCATTTTCTTACACAGTTTCTCCATGACCCTCCCTGGTTCAAACCTAACAGTCAAATAGTTGTAAATGAGAAATTTGGATAACTGCTGGCTTGGGAAAAGTCATGCTTGCATAGTTTTTGACAGTCTTTTGGAGACTCAATTGTAAATGATGTATTCAGTGAAACATGGACAGAAAAGCCGTCACAGAGATGGAAGTAGAGGATTTGGCACACCATGTACATGTACAACATCTCAGTACCACATTTCTAGCAGGCTGCTGAATGTAACTTTATTATAAACCTACATGTATGTGGGGGTCACTGTGTAAATCACCGAACCTTACAGCATTAAAGACCATCTCTTAAGGAAAGAGCAAAAGTTGTTGGTGTTTATTGATAAACCGTATTATACAAAATTTTACCTTGCCTAAGTGTAAGAAATCGAGGTAGACATTAAGAAAATTATTAGTAGTATACAGTTGCATATATTAGTTAAAGAGGCGTGTAGCTTGTTAGATATACTTGTAGAAGTCGTATTTCCTTTTTCTGATTGGTCAAGGGATCTGTCAAGGTTTCTGATTGGTCAAGGGATATTCTCGTAGAAATCGTCTTAACTTGTTCTGATTGGTCAAGGGATCGGCTGTCAGAAAACGCGCACCAATCAGAACCTCTGCTTGGAGAGTAATTTTAGCCAGAGACTCAAGCGCCCTCGTTAGGTCATGCACGAGAGCAAACTTCAGTAGGTCAAACTCGAGAGATTTATTTGCCTCCGCCATTGTCACGCCCAGCCCTGACAAAACAGTCCCTTTCAGACGAACCTGACAAAACAGTCCGGAGCTTATGGCACCAAAATAAAAACCTGATACGCAAGGAGAGGAGTAACCCATATATACAAGAGGGATAAATTGTTGTGTAGAAAGGCTTCATAGGATGGTCTCTTTTAAACCTCCTTGGTTTAAAACTCAAGGGTGGATTCCGTAGCATATCCTTTCTCCTAAAAACCATGAAAATGTCGATTGTTTGATATATGAAAAACAAACAAACACGTACAAAGGAAAGGAACGCGACGCCCCAACCTAACACCCCTTTCCTACATGGAATGGTCTAGGCTTTCACCATCATAGGCTCACCACCTGACGTTATGCATGTGATTTATATCGGATCGACTCCATACCACCAGCCATGCCGGTTTTAGGGTACTGGAATATCAGAGGGGTAAGTCTTATGTCAGAAAATATACTGTCGATGATAAATTGCCTCTTTCTGGTTTAGTTTAAGGATTCTACATTTCAATTCCATGGTTTGAATAGGTAGCTCTTAGGTTTAGGTTTTAATACAGGTATATCGTTCGTGTTATTATGCATTCTTTTTTGTATGTGTATATGTGTAGATGTAGATGTGGGCCAGGTACATGAATAAATCGGCTATGTAGATCCGGGTGGAGAGCTAGGGTGAACATTCAGTGTAGTATTGTAGTTGTGCTGTCTGGCCCATGCCAATGTGAAATGTCTTTTACATGTATACATGACCTGAATCAGAATAGATAGGTACTAAAATGGTTTCGGATAATATGCGGTGCTATACCTGGACTTCCTTCATCCAGTTCATGTTTTGGCAGATGATTAGGGTATTTTCTAGTCTGAGTAGATGTTCTGTTCTGTATACAAGCCTTGGCCTGTATCTGTATCATACTGTCGTCTACACACCAGCTTCACGGGCAGTGGTGAGCAGCTTGTACCACACTGAACGACCCGTCACACCTGACGCACAACTTGCACATCTAACTGCCAGCGTCAAATTTCTTCCAGAAGTGACTGTCAGTGTCAGAGATAGCCACCAACAGACCATGTTTAACCAAGTGGTAGAGACCACGCACGTCTAGCGAAATATTATGCGTATTTATGACCCGCAAATAATTGCACGAACTTGGCTGTCGTTCAAGTTCCTAAAGCTGTCTCTATGGTTGCTGACGGAATGTTAACAAGAGTTCGAAGAGCTTATACCTCCGTGCCCATCGACTTTCTCGTTTGCCATGTAGTTCATTATTATACCAAGGTGTAATGTCCTTGATTATACTTTTCCCAACGTGAAATGACCCAGTTTTGTGCACCCCTGTTTACACAGTATTTGGTACATCCCAAAGTGTGACCGCAGTTTCACCCCCATTTTGCCAGTCCCTTCTGTCGCGCCGCGTGACGTTCCACACTCCACACACTTTGTGGTTCGTTCTTTTCTTGATCTTCGCGCCTTCTCGTCGTTCATTCGTCAGCATGCCTGCACAGTTCGCATACTGGAACATTCGAGGGGTAAGTTAAACGTTTAACGGTGCATCTGAAACCGTGTTGACCCTAGGAGGATATCGACCGCTCAGTCGTGTGCCACGTTAGCCTGGAATATCCAGTTTTGCTATGTTATGTAAACGGGCGCTACCGGCCGCAGTAGCGAGTTTTGAAAGCGGAGACCTAGAGCTATTAGACATGACTGGATTCAAGGCTAACGCCACAATATTTTAGGCAGGGATCCAGGCTTATAATGCTCAGCCGCCACGTAACCGTCCATTTTCCGACATAATTTTTTTGGGCTGGCTGGCCGAACAACACTCAGTATATTTTTTAAGCCTTGGTGACAGGATCTTTTTAGGTTGGCAGGGAAGCGACAAGCGTTTTAAGACCCAAAAGGCTGGCATCCAGGCTAGAATAGCGATGCAGATTCTTGTGTCCTGGAAACGGTAGAGAAACACCGCTTAATAACAGTTAAGCTTCCTTCAATCTGAACGACAAATACCCAGGGAACCAAGCTCGTGAGGCCGCACGCGGACAAAGGGATGACCTAGTTTCAAGCCGATAATTTATATAGGTCACTTTAATAGTCTTTTGTGATCTTCTGTCAACTCCATAGCATCTTTCATCATGATCAACAACGCTGAACCTCTAGCTAGGTAAATTTGCCTGTCCATAACCCGTGTTACACAAATCATCTTTCGCTGCCAAGGGCTGTTTGTTTGCCCCAAAACATGTATATGACCCGTTTAATATGTAATCAAGTGGGCCGGTAGAAGGCGCTAGGGTCAGCCACAGGGGCGTAATCTCCAAGCAGATGTGTAGTATGTTGGTCTAATTACTTTTACACGCATTTTCGGCTATACGGGGTTTCACTGTCCGCTGAATGAAAAGAAAACCTATATCGTCGTATAAGATGAAAGCCTACTTTCTAGATCTGCTTGAGAAATCAAAGGGTTCTCACATTACCTAGATCGGATGCTCCTTTAATAAATGATAATGGGGTATAGGTTTCCTAGTGTCGTACCTTTATGGTACCGTAGTTTTTCTTGGGAGGGAGTGAGTGAGTTTTTCCTCTGTTCTAGCTGGCTCAGCCCATCCGCCTCCTGCTGGAGTACACTGGGACTGAGTACGAGGACAAGCGGTTCCAATGCGGACCAGGTGAGAATGGATTTCAATTGTAAAGATTTTTCTTTTTATGTAGGACCATGGAGGTAGACTTAACAAACAAAAAAGCAAAATATTGAAAGATCTGGATCTATATCCTGATCGATAGTACTAGTTTACATGCATGCAGCGAAATTGTATTTATGTTTACCGAAGGAAAACATTGTTTTATCCGGATGATATTCGGTGCTACCTGAAGAAACAGATTGTTTTTGCTCTTTTTCTTCTTCCGTTCCAAACACGGACCTCTGACCTGGTCAATGACCTGAGCTCCGGAGTTACTACTGATTTTTATAGTATGACCGTGTGATTCTTATATTTTCAGCCCCTGACTATGACAGAAGTGAATGGCTGGACATCAAACATACATTCGGCCTGGACTTTCCCAACGTGAGTAAAAAAGGTTCAAAGTTGATACAGGATCTTACCATGTACACACATGTATTCAAGTTGCAGAATCGCCAATTGACGTAACAATACATGTACTATTGGTTATGCAATTAAATTCATTGACATTGCTGTGCTGTACCGTGAGTTTAACACGTTTATTGCCCATTAATTTTTCACAGCTTCCGTACTACATCGATGGCGACACTAAAATCACTCAGAGCAACGCCATTCTGAGGTACATCGCCCGCAACAACAACCTCTGTAAGTTACACCCACTGTTCTTCAAGTTTTTAGCACATCGCAGAACGCATGAACATAGCAGCCTAGCATCGTAGGTACGAATACGACAGAAACCCTATATGACGGCAAGCAAAGCCTACCGAGGGCAATAGTTCGCTTATATAGTTCGCTTTTATTGTAGCTCATTTGCAGTAACATTTTGAATGTCTTTCTCCCCTTCAATAGCTTGATACTCCATCTATCTATCATATTCGTCAGGAAGGCGATCAGCCTGGGTGCCATTCTCCGTAGTCACCACCGGCTCAGTACTCGCTGGCTACCACGGTAATAACTACGTATGTGTAGGATATCGATGGCACCCAGACTAGATCAGAGGAGCGAACGGCAGCGAAAATAGAATAGATACCAGGCTAACTGATAGGAAAATACTCTGGGGTCTTAAAATGTTCCTTCTCATACAACAGTGACGTGTTCTTGTTCCTATAGGCGGTGAGACTGAACAGGAGCGGGTCCGGGTGGACATCATGGAGAACCAGTCCATGGACTTCCGTAACGGCACCGTCAGACTGTCCTACAACCCGCAGTTTGTAAGCAATATCCGCCCTATACATGTGGGACCGTTTGCTAAACGAACAGTATATTGAACCGTAGTCTTCATACAGAAATTAGAAAGTATATATAAAATAGAATAGAATAGAATAGAATAGAATAGAATAGAATAGAATAGAATAGAATAGAATAGAATGAGATAGGATAGGATAGGATAGAATAGCTCCGGGTGGGTGGGAGTTTTGGTACTGCGTTTTGTAGAATTTTTAACGCGTTCGGCCATCTTACAACCAGTCGTGGCGGGTACAAACCTTCTCTGTCTTCTCTGGGCGGCTGGTTGTAAGATGGCCGGCACAAAACGCAGTATCAAAACTCCCACCCGCCCGGAGGCCTGCACAGGAGGCTAAGAGTAGCTAGTCTTGTTAGCTGGGCGGACTAAAGTAACAAAATTAGCCAGACTATCATTGTTCTGTTCTATTCTATTCTATTCTATATATAGGGAAAAGCATATGACTTTACCCTTCTGTGTTCGGGCTTGAACGTTTTTCCATGTCCTTTTCCATAGATAATTTAAGACAGTTTCATTTCAGGACGAGCTGAAACCAAAATACATCAAAGACGTCTACAATGTCATCAAGCAGTTTTCTCAGTTCCTTGGCTCTAACCCGTGGTTCGCAGGAGACAAGGTAAGATATTCGTGCAACATTTCTTCAAAACGTCTATGATTTATCCTCTACCAGGCTTGGGGAGGCGGCTGGAAAGAGTAGAATTTGGCGAAATAGAGAGATAAGCATGGCAAGGGAGTTTGTCCGGCCGTTGAGAGAACATTTGGGGTGCTGCGAAATGTTCTCTCAACGGACAAACTCCCTTGGCATGCTTATCCCTCTATTTGGCCGATTTCTACTCTTTCCAGCCACCTCCCCAAGCCTGGTAGTGACTATCTTTGATTCTTTGTAGAGACGAACAGAACTTCCATAAGTCTGGAGCTCGTATATGTCCGGATGGAACGGTATGATCGGTAGGTATACCAAGTGACCAATGACTGTCCCCTACAGATCACGTTTGTGGACTTCCCCATGTACGAGCTTCTCGACCAACATCGTATCTTAGAGCCAACGCTGTTGGACGACTTCCAGAACCTCAAGGTAACGCATATGCCTCATGCAAATGAAGTAGCGATGTCATTCTTTTGTAATGACTCTCTACCTATTGTCTCTTGACATTGACATAACAAATAATGTTAATTACCTTCGCCAAGAAAGTAGGTTATGTCTTCGGTTTGTAAGTGTGTTTGTGAACAGTACAACTCAAGAAAATGTTGATGGATGTTTATGATATTTGGTTTGTGGGTAAGTTGGTATGTCAACAAAATAAAGGACAAGTTCGATTATGGTCCCTCTAGCGGCTTTCGATGGTACTTCAGCAGAATTCGCTTTGACATCTTGCTTGGTATGTTTTTCAAAGTACATGTAGACAGATTTCCGGACTAGCAGACAGTAACCTATTATTTTATTTCTATCGTCAACAGGATTTCTTGGCGCGGTTCGAGGTAAGTGACGTCACTTTGTTGATGATGTCCCGTAACAGCTATGACGTAACCTCGTAGACCCCTGATCGTAAGATCGTAAAGACATGTTTGAACCCTATCGGAGTTCATCAGAAATGCAGTTGTAACTCTTTAGAAATGCACACAACTAACGTCTACTTCTTTCCAGGCACTGCCAAAGATCGCAGCATACATGAAGTCTGACCGCTTCCTGAGTCACCCCATCAACAACCCCATGGCCAAATTCGGCGGAAAATAAAGATGCCATCAGAGGGATCGTGCCTTCCCAACTGGGCATAAACATGAATTATCATCCCATGATTCCCAAGCACTATGTACTAGGTAGATCTAGAATCGGAAATAGATGTGTATTGGTTGAAAAAGACGTCAAATCTGCTGCATATCAATCGCTGATAGGGTTACCAGTTGCATGTAAATTGAGGAGTATTATAAAAAGAAAGTTGTTTGGCACATAGGAAGAAACTAAAAATTAAGATGAAACGTTACCATGACCACGCACAAAAACTACGTACACAATCTTTGAAGATTTGTGAGATGTAGCAAGATGATACTTTTAATTTAAATACAAGATGAATTGTGGAGAGAAAAAAATATTCATCAGTTGATGTATGGATAGTATGGCGGTTTGTCTGTTTTCTCATTATTTTCACAATAATCAATTATAATCAGTAGTTCGTACGTAATTTTCAAGTCGCTGTAACTAACTCCCAGAACTGAAAAGTACAAAAAATCTTTCTTGCCTTCTGCTGTTTTCTCTTGGAACAAGTTACCCCAGACCGCCAAAGAATCCCCATCCATTCGTGCATTCAAAAATGAATTAGAGTCTTGCTTTGATAGCATGCCCAGACATCCCCACTACTCTCACGGCCACGTACACCATGTGACTCACCTTACCAGACTCAGGCTTGGTTTCAGCCAGCTGAACTACCACCTATTCCAGCATCGCTGTATCAGTAGTCCCGAGTGCAAATGTGGGCATCCAAATGAGACACCAGAACACTACTTATTACACTGCAAATGTTATAATACTGAAAGGACCAAAATGTTGTTATCCATATCTTGCCTTCATCTTGAAAACATACTCCCTTCCGACCCACTCAACGTAAATGACGCCACATTATGTACTTTACTTCTTACAGGTAGCCCCAGCCTCCCTTACCCTACCAACTGCCGTATTTTTACCTTCGCCAAGAAGGTTATGTTTTCAGAGGCGTTCGTGTATGTGTGTGTGTGTGTGTGTGTCTGTCTGTCTGTCTGTAAACACGATAACTTGAGAAGGCCTTGATGGATTGTCTTGATACTTGGTAGGTGGGTAGGTCTTGATGAGACCTCAAAATGATTAGATTTTGGACCCCCTAGCGGCTTGTTATGGTACTGCAGCTGAACTTCCGGTTTTGATATCTCATGATCTGGACATGCTATGGTGATGAAATTTGGATGGTAGGTAGCTCTTGTGCTGGGGAAGAAGTGCCGTGAGTTTGGGCCCCCTAGCGGCTTGCTCTGGAACTGCAGGAATATATTCTTGAAAATATTAAAAAGAGGATAACTCAAGAACCGGTTGACGGATCATCGTGATTTTTGATATGTAGGTAGCTTACGTGATGCTTAATACAATTATGTGACAATTATGCAAATATGGATGTAATTTGCATAATTTATGGGGAAATTCTATAAATCAGCTGCATTCCATGATAAGACAATTGAAGCTTGTGACATTGGTAATTGACAACGAGAGAAACACAGGCAGATATTGATTATGTTAATAATGACTTAATTTGCATAATTAATGAAAAATTTAATAATTATGTAATGATAACTGTCTGGAATTTCATACTTGTGGTATTTTAAAGTTAATTTGAGGTGAACATCATTAAAAATAATTTATTCAAATCAGGACCTCATTCGCATAATTTATTAGGAAATACTAGAATGCATTGTTTGTTATTACAAGACTGTCTTTTGGTCGAGATTATGATAAAATGATATAATTCATGAAAATTAGGTTCCTATTTGTTAGATCAGGGGGGAATAATCTAATGTATAATTTGTCAGTCATAAAGATTAACATCATTTGGCGAAGGTATGAGATCGTGGAACTCTAGTTGATATTGTGTTTAACTATATCCACCACTCTGGAAGATTTGACCAATCTCAATAATGTTATGCTAGGTATTGGTGCGCCAGCCACTTTCATTTTATGTTAATGCTATACTTTATGTCATCTTTATGTTTACATTTGTATTATGTTTTATGAGCAGCGGATTTACATAAGCACAACAAGTGCTTCCTATCCAATGCTCAAAAATCCATGTGAATAAAATAAATAAAACTAACTCCCACAAACACATTAAGTTAAAACCCTTCCCACATCTTGCATGATACGGTGCCCATCTCCGTTTCTATAGCATTTTAGCCACACAGTTGTGCAACCACTAAATCATGGGGCTACATAATTTAAAGGCATCCTATGCGATTTAAGAGCAGCAAAACTGGAAATATTCTGAATAAGGCAATCTTTATGATATTGACACATACTGTCGCACATTAGCACATTTCAATCAGTATTTCATACGTAAGACATTCAAAATTGCAGAAACAAGTTGAGTCCTTTATTTTCTGGATGGTACCCTAAAAATCAGCCCACAGCCCTTCCGGTAACCATTTTCCGTCAGAATGTCGGGTATTTTTGCTCCAAGGGGGTCAATATATATTGGGATAGTGTTGTTTTAACTCAGTATGTAGATAAATGACTAAACTATTGACTTTGAAAAATCGGGTTTCCGTGCCCTAAAAATTGTATTGACCCTCAAGAGTCGGATTAACTTGATTGTTGGACGACGTATTTGTACCAGAACGCGATGTTGAAGATCAGGAAGAGAGTCGGGAACAGGAATCTGGACACGACGTCCATTTTGCACGACAGTTTGACGTGGATGTTGATGACGTCATCGGCGGCCATGTTGTCCTGTTGGTCCTTAGCCACGCCCCACTCCGGAACGTCATTGTGGTTGGGTTCTCTCATGGTTATCTGAAAAGAGTGTCAAATAAATTTGGAACGACTTGCAAAAAGACAGCCACACATTACATATGCATCTTTAACTAATATAACGGTTACCGTACTAGTAAAACAGCTCTAGCTTTAGGGTACGATACATATTTGCATTAAAGTTAAACCTCACTTTGGCCCCGTTCACACGAATACGCTGTAATCGCTTTCGATCCAGATTCCACCGAAGCCGGATTCAAGTGGCCCCATCCGAACGCTCCAAATCGCATTGAACACGCCTCGATCCCAAACCACCTCGGGAGGTAGTTTCGAACCGGTTTCACCGGATCGCGATTTGCGCCTAAACGCTGGGGAATGCGATTTACTCGAATAGCGGTTCAGGCGTTTCCGTGTGAAAACTTAGTCAGTAGAAGGGTGGCCATTTTGGGCAGGATCCTTAACGATTAGGTCAATGTGACCACCAAAAACTGACCACAAGTACCTACCTGGTGACCCTTAATTCATACAGAGGTGGTCACCAGAACAGGTACTACGCAATCATAAAACCCCCACCTTGACGAGTTGTGGCACGGCCAGCGTCGCTTTGTTATCGTAGCGGAGGAGCCGGCCCAGCGGGCCTGCGAACCTGGCTCGCCGCCTGAAGACGTAGTGAACCCCGGCAAACTCCACCACGGTCAGGAACACGAACACTGCGCACGTCAGCATGTAGATGTCGATGGCTCGCGTGTACGATAGTCTAGGAGAAAGCACACTAGAACTTTGCCAGTGATCAAAATGAAGGTGATCCTGCATCTGTATCTGCACATCATACTACCGTGACCTGTAGCTGGTATAACCGCCCTTCGGCTCAACACACCAGTTTTGCAGGCACGCGGCACAGCGGCAGCTGGCTATATTACACCGAACGACCTGTAGTATCTTTTGGCACATTGTTATGCTTAAGTCACATTTCCAAACCGGGGCCCGGCCGGGTAGTCATTTGGAACGAAAAATATGGTATAAAACGCAACAAAGCACAGAAAGGTTGAAAAATATCAACAATGGAACTATTTACGTATATTCTTTATGAAAATTGTTGATTTTTCGTTAATCGAAACAGCCCGGCCGGGCCCCGGTTTGGAAATGTGACCCCAGCATTACAGAGGCTCTTAACCGTAACGACTTTATTTCACGCTCTGAAAAAAAGCGTTTGGCCTTGCAGTTCATGTCAGTACCTCGGTGTGGCGCCGTTGGAGTAGCTGGAGAGGGTTATGGAGGCCAGCATGGTGGTGATGCCGAGAGCCACCCGGGCAGGCACGCTGTCAGGACTGATCCAGAACGACATCCAGGACAGGATCACCAGAAATATGCTGAAACAGATGATGATGTTAATGTCATCAATATCATGCACGCACACACAAACACACACACACTCATAAACGCACACGAACACTTCAACACGAACTTTAAAGCGAAACAACATGATCTCACGTCTAGAGCTTTGATTCGTGAAAACAACACTCTCAATACGTAAGAAGACTACTCTGTGGATGAATTGATCATGGTATGTTCAGACTAGCCTCTACCAGGCTCCGGGAGGTGGCTGGAAAGAGTAGAAATCGGCCAAATAGAGTGATAACCTGCCAGGGGAGTTGGTCCGCTAGAGAGTACAGTTTGCCGCACCCGAACGTGGTAGAGGCTATATTCAGACAATCTTTAATGGGAAAATTCCTACCATGGTAGAAAAGCCTGTAGAATGTAGTGTTCATAACGACGTGTGAGGCTGAAGGTGGCCTTGATGCAAGAAAACGTGCCTGAAAAGTAGAATAAAAAGTTCCTGGTACATGTATGTTCAACGGAAGACTTTCAGGGGAAAATTAGATTCACCTCAATGATCAGACCAAGCTGCTGTTAAATCACAGATCCCTGATCAGACTATGCCTTTAACTACTAGCAAAAGTCTTACCAGTGAGGTATTTGACGTCACATTGAAAAGACTTCCAACCTCCCAGGTCGTATTCTGGTAACCGGATGTTGCTGTTGATTTCCAGAGGTTCCGGTTCCGCCCATTCCAATGAGAGATCGTCTGTAGTGTACCCGTCTAACGGGGAAAACAGAAAACTAGAAAGGTAAGATATGCATAGCAAATGCATAATGTTTACTTTCACATATGGTCTGCTCTGTTAATTCTTACTCAAACACATTCATATGTACGGTGACAGGAGTCTAAATCCCTCCTGCTATAAAATGATGTAACATGATGTAACCCAACACCAGTTACCATGGTGACAAACGTCTGGTTCTGGTCACTGACCTTTTGTGTTTGGAACGGAAGAAGAGGAAACAGAGCAAAACCAATACGTTTTCCTTCGGTAAACATAATATCAATATTTGTCCTCCGTTTAATTGTAATTTTCTTTACCATTTCATATTTGACATAGACGAAGCTAAGAGACTTAAATGCACGGCAATTTTTGCAGGTATGGCAACTTGTACAAATATGGAAGTTTAACCAATCTGCTATATTTTCTGTTATCATCGTTTTTATACAGTCATCTTTATACGCACAACTTTCCATCTGGATTCCGCAATTCTGGGTGTCAAAAGGAAACGTTTGGAAGTTCATCGGGCAGGACAGTAGAAATGACAACCTGTGGAAACAAAGCACAAATATTCAGAGAAGTCACGTGACAAGTCTCACTGGGTCAGTCTATTGAAGAAGACCAGAAGAAGTCACTGGTCGAAAGCTCTAGGTGACAACTATTCTTTTTTTAATTAATACCTTTGAAATCACACAAATCTGTTGAGGCTTTGTTCCAGGAATGGTCTCTCAACATTCATCTTTGTTGCCTACTTTTATTCTTCCAGTTATAACCTCTAGGGTTATAGAGCTGTAATATAGAGCATAGCGAACTTTGATAATGCCTTTTCTTAGCTCATGTCTGTCGTACAGCACAGTGCATTCAGTCATCAGAGCATGAACGAAGATCACTGCTATTGCTTATAGAATTCACCGCATTCATTCTTATGAAAACAAGAATATGATTTTAATGTACAACTGAATTTCGAAATCTTTTTATGTCGACCAGATGGGTTGAACTTTAAAATAATTTATTAGTCGTGTAGCAGAGATAGTTATCTATGAAGAGCTTAAATATGCAGAATTGTGCTGATTTGGGCATGTTATACTGAGGTCACATTTCCAAACCGGGACCCGCCCGGACTGTTTGCATATACATACGTACAAAAAATTAACAATTCATATCAGGAATATGAAATGAATAGCACTCATGATTAGTTTCTAAAAAGGTTTGAAATTTTCTTGTCTTGTATATCGTACTTTTCGTTCCCGAAAGCTGCCCGGCCGGGCCCCGGTTTCGAAAAGTGACCAATTTAAGCATTACTTCCGTGTGAACAAGATATCCCCTTGTGGGTAAATCCGGATGAGCGTGGTGTGTTCCTTCCCCTCCGGATAGGCGGCGCCCTTTCCGTTCTCGAAGAAGACATCCGGAACCCAGATATCCGCCAGGGCCGACTCGTCCAGGGTGACGAACGGTTGCGTCACTTCCGGTTCGTAGTCCCCATAGCGCAGGCGCGGGTCGTTCCATCTTTGTCGTAGGAAGAAGATGAGTTTGTAATCCTGGTTTGAAACATGAAACACTGTTTATCATGAAAGTTCATCTGTGTTGGTAGTAATCATAGTAAAACGTTAAACTTTATTCCAACACACAATTTACAGAGATCAAATTTTCAGGAGGCTATATATATCAGAGCACTTCAGCCCTCACTTAGAGATGGTGGTCGATATAAACTCCCTGGCACTTTTGATCAATTGCTTACGTCACGTATCAGTTAAGTCTCGTGTGGAATAAGGTCACGTGTTTGTAAACCGTAACTCTCGCGAGATCACGTTGTAAAGTGATTGGTCATTAATTATCCTGATGAAGGCAACAGTGGTCGCTGAAAATTTGATCTCTGTAAATTGTGTGTTGGAATAAAGTTTAACGTTTTACTGTGAAACACTGTTATTGTCACCTGGTGCGTGGGTGCACGAGGTGGATTAGAATGTAGTTTATTAGCAGGATGATCGCGTTAAAAACAGAAAGAACTTTGCCAGGGGTTCAAAGTCACTCCACTTGTGGGTTCGTGTGGCGTAGCGGCAGAGTGCTCGACTCGGTACCAAGAGGTCCCGGGTTCAAGTCTGCACTTAACACGACTTTCCTCACTTCGCTCAGGTGAAAATGAGTATTGTACTGCCCCCTGTGTTGATAGCGGCATTAATATAAGTTGACAAAACTTTAGTGTGCCGTCACCACGTCTTGTGATTACATGTTGAAATTAAAAAAAAATGTCAATCCAAAGGGCGAAACTCTCAGTTAAAAATATGCGTGTTTATGAAGCTCTTAGTACGTCCAAAGTAATGGTCATTGAAGAAGATCTAATATGAATACTACATTTCCATAATCAATACTACTGTTAGTTTAGCCATGGAGCCATAATTTTGAGGGACGGAGGTATTCGCGTGATAACATGCAGCCACATGACTGCCAGATGTCCATTCAGCACCAAGGACATGTACGATCTGTCATACCCTTGGTGTAACTTAATTCCGATTGTTTTGTTCAGGAGCTTAAAAAGAACCAAATGACAGATCGCACATGTCCTTGGTGCTGAATGGACATCTAGCGGTCATCACGCGAATACCTCCGTCCCTCAAAATAACGCTAACCGTGACTTACCATCGCCGAGTCGGATATGGAACTCAGATCATTCACGTACATCTGAACTGTGACCCTTACGTTGGAGCCTGGAATACATATACAGTAGGGAGCCTTGTAACAGTTTATCTACCACTGTAACTTGCCAAAAGTCAATGGCCCCTCTACCTATGCTACTGCTGTATACTTGTAAAATAGCTCCATATTTCTTTTATTTATGCCCAGTGCCTACATGAATTAGACAAGGGCCTACCCTTGGTCCTACTAATAAGGCTGCGTATTGATTCCAAACCAAATACTGCCTGGAGGTAACCGGCCAGGGTAGCTATAGTTCATCCACGCACTGACGGAGTGAATAATCTGCCTTTAAGTTTAAACAATACTTTGAATCACAAAAGTGTAGAAGCCCCGTAGACGTATTAGCAGGCAGTGAGAATGCGGTGTGTTCCTTAAAATTTAACAACTACTCATGGAGGCCTTTTGGAAAACCGGTGTACAATATATACATGTACTGATTGAAACGATTGCTCACGGATAGCCCACCTTTAGACATTTTAAAGTCAAATTACTTCATTTACCTCTGAAGTTGGGTCGGAAACGCTTGTCGTATTTCCTCAGGAGGTCGTATAAAGCAAATGTTCCTGTCTTATTCTGTGGCAACCTAGATGGCAAGCAAGCAAAATGATGTTAATGTTGAAGGATTGACTTTGGCCTCATTTAGATCCACATTTAGCTTTAGCATTTAGCTTAGCTATTCTTCAAGTACAACAGTACAACAATATAAAATATCAACTGCCACACAATAGCATGCACACATGGTAACAACACAGACCACCATACTTGAAAATACAATACATAATATTCATTAAACACATGCAATTGTCCTATCTTGTGAAGTGTTCCAGTTCTTAACCATTCGGTACAAGAACCTCTTCTTTAAGGTAACAATGTTATTGATAAAAAAAAGAACATGTGAGAACATAAACGCTACATTGAATGCTTCTCACGGTATATGTTGTGTCTCAAATATTGTTTTGAAGGAATCCACGCAGGGCCACTGACCCTAATCGTTACTAGTATGTTTCTTTTTTTACACTTTACAATGATCTGTTTTCTATTATTAGATTGCACAGCAAAGCGTGACAAATAATAATCACGAAAATGATTGAGAGTTTATTGCAAGTTCCTGCCCGTAGGCTAAATGGAAGTAACATGAAAATAAAGGATGGGCCACGGGATGGGTAACAATATAGTGTGTGACTACTCTAACTATTAAACACTAAAATCTAACTTATTTGGGATTGAAAATGATTAGAGACAAATACTTGATACAACTGTTGTTTCTAATGATTCATGCAGTCTTTTTAATCGTAATTCCACATACCCTTCCTGTTTCAGAATAATTCCCACTTTCAGTGCAGATATTTACCTGTGTTCCACCATTGATGTTGTGTTGTGATGATCTGCAACGTTAAAAGACAATTACATGCAACGACACGTCCATGTCACTTCGAAATAGAATAATAAGAAAATGTTTATTGCAAATGCATGCCCGAAGGCTAATTGCAAGCACATGAAACTAGTTATATTCCACAAGGAGGATTTTTTCCCTGTTATAGAGAACTGCGTGGGCATACAACTACGAGTCATGTTACGGAAATGGTGTTGTTTATAACGCAAAGAGGTTATCATTTTACATTGATGTTACTTTGATTGGTGTGTAAGCTTTTTGATACAACCACGCACACACACGCACGCACGCACGCACGCACACACACACACACACACACACACACGCACACGCACGCACACGCACACGCACACACACGCACACACACGCACACACACGCACACATACGCACACATACATACACGCACACAAGCTTTCAGTGGAATAGTAAAATATAACGTTAACAATAAATGATCTTTCGTAGCCTTCCTTTGTGGCTTGATACTTTTACCCTATTGCTTTAGCGACGTTGTTGTGTACATGTTATACGGTCTGTTTTTACGAACCTTTCAAATGCTTCCAGCCAATATCGTCGTTACCTATAGTACCTACATATAATAATAGAGCATCAATTTCACACACGTGAGTTACCTTGCAAATCTGCCACAGCTGCATTTAACACGAGGGTAAGGCAGAAGACGACAAACATTTTCGTGAACCGTCACAAGTCCTCTCTGGCCCGTAGGTCGCCCTAGATGCAAACGGCACACACCGGAAGAGCGAAGAAAAGTCACGATTGTACGTAGGTACACCCAATCTGAAAACCGCCTCTTGAAAAACCTTTGGCACGACCAGGAAATGTACACAATGACCTCCGCTATAAACACAAGTCACACAACTCATATATCACTCTCCAAAACCACGTCCAGGTTGGTTTTGCGTTCTTTCCTTATGTAAATACGAGTAGCAACAGATGTCAATGTTTGTTCCTTTACAAAAACCTTCCTCTACCGGCCTTACAAAGGTTTGTGTTTCAAAATGAAACCTTTATGATCGCGATATCTAAAGAAAGGTGGTAACAACAAAGAACACAAATTTCCACATCCTTTATGTTCTATGAAATGCTGACCAAGGCAAGTCCGCAAAGGTGACACGGGGGGTGTTAAAAGATAACTATGCAACAGGGACGAGACAGTACTGTTAAATCCTTACTGTTTTTCCAGTCAGCCGAAAGAAAGCAATGTAAAAAGCCGCATCATATTCATTGATACAATATATTCTGTCAGAAAAACTGTATTGTGGGATTTTGAAGCCATAAGTTATTTATATCAAGTGAAGCCAGGGATTTTGTGTGCGATTTTCTCTTTGGTGGCAGCATTGTTAAAAAAAATTGGTATGCGTTCTCACAACACTAACAGAAGAATCCATTTGAAAAAGAGCGGATACTTGTAACAAAAAAGCATCGTCACTTACCTAACTGGTGATATTTGACCGCTTTTCAAACAACTGCAAGATTGTAGTCAAGTACCTAGTACTTTAACCCTACTCAAAACGCATTTTACACTTCGAGAGCATCTAAGTGAAAGGTAAGTTTTGACAATCTTGCTAGCGGTGCTTGTACATGTACACTTGAGCCCTGATCATGAGACCGGCTCGTGTGTCGCTGTCAGCATGTGGCATATAGCAATACATCAACCCTAATTTTGATTTTTTTTGTAAATCATCTTTTACGTGTGCACTTATTCTGATTGTGACCCATGAAATTGGTATTAAATGCTACATAAAATATTAATGTTTAATAGCATCTGTTTGAATTATTTATTATGTGCGTGGAGATGATTATGGTTTTCGAAGACAATTTCACTTGCCGTGTGGGATACAATGTTGGACAAGTAAAAGCGCATACTGGTGGGTTTCATAGGTCATAAACTTGCATATCACTCCTCAGAGGGTGATAAAAAGGTTTACAAGTGTACTTTCTTTTCCGGAGTTGCAAACTCTGCAAACGTCTTTTCGATTGTTCTGGAAAATCTCAAAAGTTATTGCTTCGTTTCCAAACAGAGTCAGTTCCCCATATCTAAGGACTACAATGTACTTTGCTAAAAGGCTCTCTCGGTACGGTAAGGTAAATATAAAGGTATTTCTATACCGTAGGGGCAGTGAGTTGTTAATCCACTGTGCTTTTGGCATGATTTTGAAGGTCAGACCTAATCCCTATCATTCCATCACGTTCACCCCTCCATTGACACGCACATGCTTCGCTTTTGGAGACACTAAACCACCTGTTGGAGACACTAAAACCACCTTAATTGGTGGGTGGGACAGCAAAATATCCAACCAAAGAGGCTCCGCCCATACATAAATTACTACAAAGCTGACTCAATAGAGAATACACACTGGGTATTGAACTTCATGTCACTCGGTACATTTAGAAAACGAACCATGTTTATTAAATCCTATTGCAATAGATTCTAACTATGGTCATCACCAGTAGTTCAGTATTTACTCTGAAATTCATTCGCCGGTTACCAGATGCGAAAATCGTTGTATAAAGCACGGCTACATCGGTCATTAATGATCTTTCCTAACACCGGGTTTCCATTAGGAGAATGTATTGAGACAGTTAAGTTCAATCTAAGATATGTGAAAGCGTTTCTGTCCAATGTCGGCAAGCATGACCATTCATAGCTGCAAGTTGGTGCTGCATCGAAGTATGCAGAGGTAGAGGTCTATTTTACAGGCGTTGCTTCTCAGTATATTTTGGCGCTTGTACTTGTAGGTAATAATTGTAATTATAGTTGTTATTCACAAAAGACATGTCTGGCTGTTGTTGTTCTTTCGTCATCATTTCGTTGTGTCCTTTGTTACTAAAGTCGTCATGGTCACATTGCCTGGATACCATGAATCGCCCAACACAATGTCCAAGGCCACGTGATGTATATTCTGCAGGCATACGTAGTCTTACGAATATCATTTATCGCTGATACGGTAGCCTATAAGTACAATCCAGCTTGTGGAGAAGAATTGTACTTGTGGGCTATCGTACACTCGTGTTCCTCGCCAGCTTCTCTGTTGTGGTAGGCGTGATTCCGTCGTCTGTCCGACGTTGCTTCTTTCGAGCCCTATCTCAGGGCGTACTACCCCTCAAGACGTACAACTCCTCAAGACGCACGACGACTCCTCAAGACTTCTTCTCAAGACGCAGGCGGCTTCCTTTAAAAGACGTACGGATCCTCAGGCGTCATACGCCGTGCTGTACACCAGCCAGTAGACACTGTTGAAGAAGAAGAACAGGCCCGGGAAGAGGAATCTGGAGATGATGTCCATCCTGCGCGCGAAGTTCTGGTGCAGTTTGGCGACGTCCTCCTGGGACATCCTGGCGCGCGGCTGGAGCTGGCCGTTCACCAACTGCGGGTTGCTGGGATTGATGTAGCTGGTTTCCGGTGTCGTCGCCGCTGTCGGGACCTGCTGTACAACAGATAGTGAATCTCATTTGTCTTCACTAATTTACATAGAAATCAAAAGTTCGTGCTTATAAACCTGCCATTCTCCTGCAGTCGCTTAGTGTCACTGAAGAAAGGTAGTGGATGCTACGTTAAACGTCTGACCGCTTCCAAAATCATATCCAGTTGCCTGAGTAACTGTTTTTTTTGGCGTATCTTATTACCTGGATGTCTAACCTTCACCGACATAGTGAATCTTAATTGCATGTTCCATGGGGCTAAGTGCATACATACGAATATGATGTTACATCATGTATATGGATACCGAAAGGAATAACTTTAAAGTCTCGGTAACCACTAGAAAGTACATTCTATCTAATCTAGCAACGTACATACAGCTTCATACTATGATTCACTATCATTATCATCATGATCCACTAAGCTTCTTGTAGACATTGTGACTCGAGGAGGGAGTCTTTTGTTGCATTTTACCACAAATATACAGAGTTTTGTCACAAGTATACATCTTGTAGCTTGCAGCGTTTTGTGACAAATATGTGGTAAGAGTCGCCACGGCTAAGCTCCATTCAACTTGGTAAATTTCCACCAAAACTCACCTGTGGCGGCGGGTTGGAGACGCTGGGAAACTTATTTCTGCAGAAGATTCTGCGCACGAATCTGGAGAACTTGGTCTGCCGCCTGAAGATGTAGTGGGACACCGAGAATTCCACCAGCGCGGCGAACACGAACACCGAGCACGCCAGCATCCAGATGTCTATAGCTCGTATGTAGGAGTTTCTGAAGAGAACACAGAAAATGAGCATCATGTTGGCCAAATGTAAGTTATTCAGGGTTAAACAACAACCTGACATACGTATGAGGTAATTTCCAGGCAGATCTTTTGGTGACTACAAAGACATACAGTACAATATCAAATTTGGTCAGGTAGTATTCATTGGCCTCGTGGCCACCCGGACAGCTGAGCATCTATTTTCTCGAGATAACCAGTTCTAGCCGTGACATTAATCTCCAAGCAGATCTTTTGGTGGGTGAAGACAGTAACCATTTCCTTGGGTGGGGAAATGGTTACAGACTGGCCAATTTGATACTGTCTTACCCCCACCAAAAGATCTGCTTGGAGATTAGTGACATAACATGTCAGCATTTGGGTCTAAAGGTTTGGCTGGTGAACGACTAGACTAGTCACTGGTTGAAGAATATTCTACTAACTGTTGGCTGATGAAATGATGACACCCTATTTTTTGTACTCTTCTGACGTTTTGTGTAGTTTTGTGTACAGACCTGGGTGTGCTGCCGTGAGAGAAGGCGGTGAGGGTTGTTGACGTCAGCACTGTGGTGATACCGAGGGAGATGCGGGCCGGCACCACGTCAGGGTTGATCCAAAACGTCAGCCATGAAATTATCACTAGGAGAATGCTGCAAAACAAAGACAACATGTTCAAGGTCCATGTTAGTATTGCATACACATTTTTAATTAAATTAATGTGTAGTCACTACTTTTCGGTGTGGCGTAATGGCAGAGGTCCCGAGTTCGAGTCCCGAAATGCCACCGATCTTGTGCCCGTGGGAAAGGCACTTTACACGACTTTCCTCACTTAACTCAAGTGAAAATTAATATTTTCTGTCCTGTATTTATTCTATGTGCACGTGTGGGACACAACTATCCCATTAATTCACCATATAGCTTGTTTAGAGTGTTGTAACTCTTGGTGGTATAATGGTAGCTATCCCATGTAAATGTAGTTAGCACGTGTTCAAACACAATACTTTTTAGTACTAATGGGATAAATAACCAAAGCTCGTTTTTAACCGTATAGTGCATGGAGTTCTGCTGACAGAGTATCGGAGTAACTTTGATAATCTACTAAAAGGATGCCGACGGAAATCCATAAATCGATGGAACCCACAAGGACTGACAAAAGCCCGATAATCGTTACATCAGAACTATTATATACTGCCGTGTTACCTGACACCGTGTATACCTGCGGGAAATACGCAATGATTTCGGATACAAACAAGGCGTACTACAGACACCCCCTGTGCGATCAATGCGACCATACCTACCTTGGGATGTAGGCTTGGATGAGGTAATATCCAAATCGTCGCACCAGTTTGAAGTATGCCTCCGTACAGGAATAGTTTCCTATGAAAAATTAATACGTGGAATATTTTAACTGTCAAAAATTATAACATGGTTATCTTATGAGGTTCAGAATCTCTACGGTGCATTTTATGACTTCATACTTATTTGTCGATGTCGAGAAAGCTTTGACCTTTAAAGATGACCTCTGACCTGTTAGAACCTGGTTGTCACATCGCCGTGTTCCCCACTGTTTCAGTTCAAACTCCGGCAAACGGATGCTCAGGTCGATCTCCATTTCCGGTTTGGCCCACTCCAGAACCAGCTCCTCTGTCGTGTGGCCGTCTGGAACAACACAAAAGATTGAAAAAAAACAGAGGTTCTGCTGCAGTATCATAGAAAGCCGCTAGCTAGGGTTCGAACCCTGCCATGCCACCGATCTTGTACCCTTGGGAAAGGAACTTAACACGACGTTCCTCACTTCACTCAGGTGAAAATGAGTGCTGTACTTTATATATTCTATGTTGGTGGCGGCATAAAATAAGTTTAAAAAAACTTGAGTGTGCCGTCGCCACGTCTTGTGATTACATATTGAAATAAAAAAAGCCCCTAGAGGGTCAATAGTTGAACACGTCCTTTGTTTTACCAATGCCTACCCACATACCAAATACCATACAGATCTATCAACAACTTCTCGAGATATTCTGTACAAACTAAATCGTTACAATTTCAATATTTCAGATTATTCATAGGTTTTACGCGATTTACTTTCACACCTACCACTTTCTATAACTTACCTTTTTTCACAGATATATATGTGTTGCAGCTCTCATACAAGTTGGAAATGTTTTATAACACTGAAAGCACTTTTATCATTAAAAATTGGACATTGTAATGATTTTACAGATGAGTTATGAGCGATGAATGCTGAGATGACATACACACGCCTACACTTCACCGTGCTTACTATTGATCCTTCATCATACGCTATATAATGCCTGACAGATTTATCGTGAAAGAACTTGTGTTTGACAGTATCATAACTTATGTCATTATCCAAATGTGCTCGGGGACCTCCACTGCGGGATGTAATAATGCAATGATAGCGCGTACTTTGCCTGGGGCGTGTTTGATCAATGTGATCAGATAGAGTTAAAGCAACGCGGCTTTCAGCACCAAGGAGAGAACATCTACAACTATCGAACACGTACGGGATTTATTGCGCTATCACAGCGAAAGAAATGAGGACAAACTTTGAATAGCTTATATATAGTTAGAGAACGGTGCCACGGAGAAAAGTGAGACATCCAGTGCAGTTTTTAGGTCTTGGAAACCAGGTTTTTTAAAGTCAATATCCTAGTCAATTATCTACATACTGAATTGAAACAACACTGTCCCAATGTATATAGATCGACATTCATGGAGTAAAAATGCCCGAAATTCTGACGAAAAACGGTTACTGGGAGGACCTGCATTGATTTTAGGGTACCACCCAGAAAATAAAGGACTCATCTTGGGGCTTGTTTCTGTGCCTTAAGTATGAAATACTGATTCACATGTGCTAATGTGGGATAGTATGTGACAATATCATACAGATTGCCTTATTCATAATGTTTCCAGTTTTGCCGCCCTGAAATTGCATTGGATGCCTTTAACTCGTGGTTCATTGATTCACCAGAGTGGTCGATGAGTTAATGTCGTGTTGCAAAATATAGGACAACAGGAATTAGGACAAACTTTCGGTAACCACCGTGATAATTGCGTGAGGAAATAAGCTTACAACTCTCCATTTGTATTCCACAGCTTTGCGTATCGAACGGGAACATCCGGAAATCCATCGGGCACGACAACAATAGCGCCATTCTGCGGGAAGATATAGAATTGCAGATGAGGCGATCTTGCTCCTGTGTCTTATAAAGTATCTGGATGAATAGTGACAATCGATTTCGGAACATATATTCATTTTGAATATGGTGCAATGTATAAATGTACTAACGATGATATGTCTACTTTGCTGGATGCGACATTTCGATTGGTGTGAACAAATGCGTCTATGTCTTGTTTCCGTCGATTGAATCCATTCCATTTCATTACATTAAATAAGAATGTGGACAGGCTCTCAAAGTTTATAACTTTCTGTCAATGCCGTCTATGATTTTCCATAGTAGCAAGTGTTCAAGATGGATACCAAAGATATTACTCTTGAATTTGAGACATAACATAGTGCTAAAGAGTTCGAAGTGATTGGTCATCAATTATCCTGATTAAAGCGACAGTGGTCGCTGAAAATTTGATCTCTGTGTAACTTTGTGTTGGAATAAAGTTCAACGTTTTACTATAGTGCTAAAAGCTTAGAGCTCAACTTTCTCCGAATACAAAATCGTCAAGCTAAATCGAAAAGACACTCGCTTTTGGCTGAGTAAGATGTCTCCTTGTGGGGAGATCCTCAGCAGTGTGTTGTGATCTCCACCCTCCCGGTAGGCGGCGCCCTTCCCGTTTTTAAAAGAAATGTCCGGTATCCAGATCTCGGCTAACGTGGTCAGACCGAGCGTCAGGCTGGACTTGAAGTCCGTGTAACTCAGGCGGGGGTCGTTCCATCTTTGACGCAAAAAGAAATTGAGAATGTAGTCCTGGAGGAAAAAAGGAAAGGAAGAAAATGTTGATATTCAGCACCAAATATTTTCAATTGAAAGTTCACGAACTTGACCCTTGTCCTGTCGGCATTTTTTACACAGTATTTGCTATAATTTTATATCTTAACCAGGTCATAGACCCTTGCCTTGTTTTGCCCTGCGGTGGAATAGTTACTTCCAAATTCGTTGCATTTCGCTGCGGTGTGAAGCGGTGCACGAGAAATCCCCCAAATCATACATATACAGAGGGTATGTGCAACCCATGTATACGTGGGCTCCATAGGACAAGGGTTTTAATCATTCAAGAATAAAAGGCTGTTCTATGAAAATTGTCCAATAATGTTACGTTATTGTGCTTCTCAACGGACCTTTTGCAATCTTCATTCAAATATATCTGAATCTGAAATCACTCTCCTCGAATCGGCACAAATTTGTAAAGAAAATGTATGACATACCATGGACGCTTCAGAGACTGAGCTAATGCTGCTGACATACAGTTGAACCTCGACCCAGATCCGAGAAACTGCAAGGAACGAACAAGCACAAAACACTACAGCACCAATCTTAGTACAAACAACCTGTTTAATCATGGTGTGAGAGAGAGCGTTGACCTTGTGCTTTGATTGGCATCGATTAAAGAACTATCTAATTCTGTACACATGTACTTGAAAACTGAAGTATTTATTGCTATTGACCCATTCTCGGAGTCATCCTGTCTAACACACGAGTAAATCGAAGTCCATTTTACTGTTTTCCGTTGTGCCAGCAATGCTAAGACAATAGCGAAGGAACGTGAGATCTATAACAATATGTAGCTCCCAAATCTGCAGATACAAATCACCAATATAGTATTTCTATAGTTTTGCTTCTTTTCATGAACCCAAAAATGGTTTGCAAATTTTGTTAGACTTTTATCAAACCTATATGTTGAGACAGTTGGATAAACCTATGATTTAGAGCCTGAAACGCGTTATACAGGCGAATTTGTCAGAAGTCACTATTTCGTTATTTGTTAACCTTCGTTCTTCTCTTACCTGCAAAGTTTGGCCGTATCCTCTTGTCATAATGCTGAAGACGTCTGAACAGCATAAATGATGGGATGTGGCCACCTGGTATGTCCCTGGTATATTTTTATAAATAAGCAAAAAAAAAAACAACAACAAAAACAAGCAACATGACAATCAGCACATACATAGATTTGTTTATAATGTTCCCTAGCTTTATTCACCTTCCCAGCCTACAAAAACTGCATTTCTATTAACACCCCCCCCCCATTCATACGTCTCGCAAAATGTCGGGCATTTCATACTCCACTGCACACAGAAAAGAAACCAAACTAAACAATAACTATATCCAAAGTAGCATTACTTATTATCATTTTTACTGTTTATTTGTTACGATGTACTTGCAATTTGCCCTAGGGCATGAATTTGCAATAAACTTTCTCACTTTCATACATTAAGCTACACGATTGCCAAACCGTGCTTTTAGACAAATTTGCAGAGCTTTTAACAATGCCGCTTCACTATTAAATGAATCGTTCTCCGTTTCATATCGAGAAGTCCAGTCAGTCATCGATCCGGCACATCTGTCCGTGCCATGTGTCGTTATTGGCATGTTTGTATGCCTGTCTCAACTCATCCCAACTCCGTCAATACATCACACTCTCCCGTCATCTACATGCACACACGGGGAATACGTCGATACACACATCCATTTCCTTCCGCTTCTTTTCCATCAATCATACATACCCCCACCTGGTGTCTACCCTCCTTACCCGAACTCCAGGGTGTAGTTTCTCGACATGTGGGCCGAATTGCCTGGGAGGAGAGAGACGGGAGAGGATTAGAAGCACGCTATGTTTCTGATGGGGGATTATATCGCCGAGACAGGGGGGCAATTGGCGTAGCGAGCGCCTCACTCGAGAAGAGCGTATCCACAGCCTTTAGGCAACACTTATTTGACACTCTTGCTAAGTACCTCGGCGGTCAGGCCTGAAAATGCTCAGGGCCAGAAGGTCAGTCGATTTTTCTGGAGTGTCGATTCTTGCAAGGAAACACGCGCGTCTGAGAAGACTATGCCAAGAAGACCTACTTGCTGCAATCGATCATTTAAAGCTACAATTATCCTACGAAATTACAATTTCCCTTTGATCTTGTGCTACTGAAACTGCATAGCACTAAAGCTATGCTTGTAGTTTCTTATATATCTTCACCTGAAGAAAATAAGACTCATCTACAGTAGATTTAAGGAAACCTTAAGTGCACTTAAGTGACAGGTAGATTGACATTGGACGCCAAGGTGGCAAAGGCCACATGAACTTTCACTTGTCTGGGAGTTCCGTGGAAGAAACTCAACCCTCAAGTTTCATTTATCTGAGAAAATTGTAAGTAAACTTGACGCGTAGATCGATCTCTGAGGCCGTGGTAGCAAAGGTTACGTGGAAGGTCACTTCTTAACTGCCACCTAACGTCCTCTTGATGTTGTCTTCTCCCAGATCAAAGGTGTTGAAAATAGGCATAATCACCTGGCCTACACATCTTAACGTTCCCGTTCCAACCATACACGTAGTTAGCTCAACATTTCCGATAACCTGAGGCCCTTTCATCAAAACCTTTTGACACGGAAAAACACATGCCGATTGTTGAGTTGATTAGAGGTTGTTTTTGTGTTCGATCTAAACACATGGAAACAACGACTTACTGAATAAGGTCACGCACCCGGACCAATTGGGTCAATAATTGTGAAGAAGGTCTTAGATAAGGCCGATAATCCCAGTTTCCTTGTGTTTGATCAAATCGCCGCTCGCACTCCTTAGTTGGATCGAAAGTTTAGATTTAATCATAGGAAATTCGTTCCGTTACTCCAACTCTCCAATCGTTGGTTGCCCTACTTGAGATACGTTTTATAGTGATAAGAATTCAACTCTGTTGATCACGACTGTTTCGTGTTTTGGCAATTTGGTTTTAATAGGTATATGTTATGCTTTTAATCGTATTCTTAATGTCGAGAGCTCTTCGTTCCTTCCTTTATTGCATTTTATATTATCTTTGTAACTTTCAACAAATTTCATGCCGCGATTTCTATGTACATGCTAGGTGATTGAATTAAACTGAACTGAACTGAATAAGAATGCGCGATGCGGTATAATAGTTGCTACAGATTACAAGAAGCGGCGTGCCACAGCTCGTTTCAAGTTCATTAGAAACTAGATCAATCCGGTCCCGGGACAATACCACTGGATCAGACAGATGGCCTCACCACTCCCCACCGTGGTTCGTAATTTGTCTGGCGGCTATTTCCCAAACGCCCGTTTGTCTGAGGGGTGTTTCAGCCTTTCTGATTCTCATTGTGTAATTAGAATTCGCAATTTAGGCGTTAATAGCAGTTCCAAAGACATTCGGGCTGGTAGAAGGGAGAAAACAGTTTGCGGTGCCTCCGTGATCTTTTGTTTACGATGTTAGGAAACATAACATTTTAAGTTTCCCAGAGTTCACAAGGTTTCCTTTATTTTCTCCGCGTATGCTGCTTTCTGTGTGTCTCTCTCTGTGTATGCTTGTGTTTTCGTAGTTTATTTCTACATGCTATATTTGAAACACAAGCTTAGGTCAAAGGTCCCAGAAAAGGTTCTCCCGTTTCCTGTTTTCTGTATGTCGATCTTGCCTTATGAGAGGCATGTGAGAAAATGAATATACAGAATCAGAGAACATTTCAAAATAATGAAGAAACCAACAAATTTACACGGAGCTCACGGAGGTATGAGATCTTCTACTTCTTCTCACTGATTTGCACTTCTAACTAAACATTTCTTTTTAACTTCCCTTTGCTTTGATTGCTCTTAAATTCGTCCACTTCACAGAACCCAAATTCCAGCAGAGAAAGAAGACTTAGTTTCTCCTTTCAGGGGACCGAGCATCTTTGTTTTGCATCGATTTTTTGGCCGACTCCTCGGCGAAAACTAATCAAGCCTGACCAGTCATTAAGCGCGAGATTTTGGGCAGTGATTGCGGAGTTAACAGGACCCCTTAATTATCGAACCGTCATCTGGAAGCGAGTCGACACAAACATGCAGATGGGCGGTTCAACAACCCAGTTCTGTCAGAAGTTGGCCGGCTGTTTTATGTGTGCAGTTTGACCGCGGCGTATTTGTATCAAGGCGGAACCTATTGTGTGAAGTACTGGTCCTCTAATCAAAGTGTTTATACATGTATTCTAACTTCGTTTTTGTGCTGGGTATGCACGTGTTACGTTCGTCGTAGGTCAAGTTTACTGGAACTGGGAACGTGATTAGGAAAGCTTTGGTTATTTATACCATTTATTTAGTATTGAAAATCTATTGCCTTTAAAAAAACGTAACTACTTTTACATGGGATAGCGATAGGTAAAAAAAATTATATCCCATTATACCACCAAGAGTTACAACACTCTAAACAGTTCATATGGTACATTAATGGAATAGCACCCCTGCTATCCGATTAATTTACCAGAAAGAGATTCAGAATTTCTGTATATGGTAGATTAATGGGATAGCACCCCTACTATCGTGCATGTATGCATTTGTCCTGTGACGGCAAGTTCGTAGGTACTTCGTTCAGTTCTGTCATAAATACTCTGAAAATCGCAAAACCAAACAAAAATCTGAATCTGTATTGCATGGCGATATTATCACTCTTTGGCGTATCACACCAGCGTAGGATATAATATGCTGAGGCCACATTTCCAAACCGGGGCCCGGCCCGCTGTTTGCATCAACCAAAAAATTAACAATTCATATCAAGAATATATAATAGATAGTATTCATGATTACTAGTAGTTTCTAAAACGTTTTGTGTTTTCTTGTCTGTTTTATCGTACTTTTCGTTCCCAATAGCTGCCCGGCCGGGCCCCGGTTTAAAAATGTGACTTCAGCAATACCAAAACAATAGTATCTATCAGGACTATCTTGTAATCTTCAGTTTCTCATACTGAGAGTAGTGCTGTCGAATATTCCAGATCACAAATTGCAAACAAACAGATTAATCTGGGAGCCATATCAAATTGAGTGAGTGATCCTTAGGATTAGAGTGCATTATTACATTTTGCAATATTAATCTAATGCATATTTACGGAAGGGTGAGGCAAGATAAGGCAATTTCAAAATACAGGAATTGATTGGAGAAACATCTGAAGGCTAGATACGAGTACTAGATCACCCCCTTCAAACTCCTTTCAAGCCGTACCCGGAAATTCAAGCCGTACCCCATGCCCGTAG